ACCTCAGACACATGATATGTACCTAGAAACATTAGAAGCATTATTCATGGCTTACCTTAAACTAGTGGGTTTGGTGTTTGTTTTAAATTTTTTTTATTACAGTGGTCCCGCGATTAACAAACACAATTGGTTCCACAGAGTCGTTCGTTAACTGAATCTATTATTTTAATGAAATATTGGGTAAATGGTTCCAATTCACAGAAAAAGAACATACAAAGTACTGTATACCGGTAATAGAATTAACAAAACATTAAATATAAACTAAATACAGTACAGTCAGTTCTGCTATAACGCGATAGTTGTGTTCTTGTAAAACATCGTGTTATAGAAATTCGCGTAATAGAAATAACGGCTTATGGAGAAAATAGGGTTAAGTGCAGATTACTACTCGAAATCGAAAAAAATTTAGTAGTTAACCTAACACAAAGGATAGCACAGTCTAAATAAATGTTACATTCATATCTAATAACGAAATCATACAGTAAATGTAACACTTTACCTTGAAAAAATAAGAATATAACTTGATGGGGGAGAAGGGTGATTTTGAGGTAGATAACATCGAGCTTCTCTTCAAGGGTTATAGCCTTTCTTTTACAATCATCACCGGGAATGCGATCACCAGAACGCTTCTTGGAGATATTCTTCATTGCCATATTCACAGTTAATACCACAAAATTGGAGAAATAGTAAGCAAAAATCGAGTTACAGCAAACAAGCGTTCGCGTTATACAAATATCGTTCCTCTATTCATAAATCGCGTTAGAGCCAATTCGCGTTGTCAAAACGCGCGTTATAGCAGAACTCACTGTACTGTACTGTAATGTGCAGTATACTGTATGTATAATAATAAATAAAAAAACAATAGAATACTGTAGTTTAACTTACTTTGAGGTGTGTATGTTGTATTCCCTGCAGCTTTGTTTACATATCAAACAGCTGATTATAGAGGCAGTCGATGATGACATGCCATATTCTTTACAGAGTGCATTGGTTCTAATGCTTTCTTCATGTTTCATAATAATTTCTGCACTGTATATTTTCAATACAGTATGTGAGCTAAATTTCAGAATGACCAATAATTTAAACTGAGAAGCGTTAGTGGGTGATTCAATCAGCTGATTGGCACACAAAAACTGTTCCACTGGAAATGAATGTAAACATAGAACCAGTTACTGTATTGGCAGACTAGCTGATCAGCTGATGCGCACAACAAAGCACGTTTCTCGTAAGGCTTTCGTTAATCGAAGTTTTGTTCGTTAATGGAATTGAAAATCCTTATGGGAGCTAATTAATTAATCAAAATTTTGTTAATTGGACCGTTCGTTAATCGAGGGACCAGTGTATTTCCAAACTTTTTTCCAATTGATAGCTGCACTCTTTTGACTTTCTCCCTCACACCACTTCCTTACTTTTGGCTTGATGTCTAAGCACAGTAGTTAGTTGACCGAGAGGTAGCAGTGAACACCACATGTGGTGGCGGCAGGACACAGACTGAGTGGATGTACACAAACCCCATGCGCCAAGCAGCTCATTTGGCATGAAAATTTGATTAAGCGTAAAAGGGTTTCTCAAATTAGTTCGTTAAATTGAGAAAATACTATGTGAGGGACACCTATTGGGGGGGGGGCCAAGGGTATACTTTTCCGTTATCAGCCTCAGTTAAAATTATTTAAACGTTTTTAAGTGATATGTCATCAGTTATCAGACATAATGGCTCAAACACTGGGCAGTGATGGAAACACAAGTGGAAAAACTTGCACAGTCGACCACAGATGTGCACTCCACAACTGACCAACCTGAACTGACTGACATGTGTGACATGTATAGGACTGTACAGTCCTAGTTTACACTGAGGTGGGCCAGGGGGTCGCATCCCATGGTGACATGTGCATCATATTTGAGGCACCAAGTGTGACAAGGTACCAAGCACCAAATATTACAATCGAGAAAAATGCTCTTAAAGTTTGAAAAAATTCAAAATGACGTAACTTTTGAACCAATGAAGATATTCAGCTCATATTAATTGAAAAGATTGTTTATTGTAAAATTTTCATTGTTTTTGATGGGTAGTGTTTGCAGTTTCATTAATAAGCATTGCTGAGGTATAATTTTCATTACATGGAAGCAATAATGTATTAAGACTACACCAGAATGTCAAAGGTCATTGTACTGTCTGCATAAAAGCAAATAATACTGTGCCAGGTATTACCAATATTTCGACCGGACACCAAGCACCAAAAAGTATAATAAAAAAAATGGAGGTACATAAGTCTTAGTTATTATTTGAAAAATTACAGTAAACAATGACTTGTATTACCAATATTACCACCCGCCCTCGCTCCCAGTCACCACCTCCTCCCTCTGTTAACCCCCTACTGGTGTGATAAAACTTGTCACTCGGACAGGCCGGAACACGCCACGTGCCACCAGCCCTCACTCACACCCTCCTCGCCCTCCCTCCTCTCTGTTTTGTTTATTTTTTCCTCACTGGCCCTCACTCCCTCCTTTATGCCAGTTGGAAAAAAAAAAAAGGTTCAAGTGTTATTACATAGCATTCCTGTGACATTTTTGTGGAAACATGGACTCCCATTAGCTAATAAACTGGAAAATAATGAGTCACTATGAGCGAGAGAGGCTGCGATTGGAGGCCGCAGGCCCTTGTCCCCTTCTGCCCCTCAGTCCGCCTCGAGGCGCAGATCACGTGCTGTAGAGACGTGTTTACCTACCTTCACAAATATGGCTCTCAGCTTTACAAATATTGTGCTACAAAGACAGTCTGTGTTTCTGCAGATGGGGGAAAGGTTGTGGAGTACAGGTAATACTGTAACTCTGGGGGGGGAGCACTTGGCCCCTTGTCGCACTCAACACCTCATAGTATTCATAAATGTCTTGCATAATTCAAAATTTGACCAAATATTATTATTTTTTAATATATATATATATATATATATATATATATATATATATATATATATATATATATATATATATATATATATATATATATATATATATATATATATATATATATATATATATAATTTTTTTTTTTTTTCTAACAGCAAAACATTACAAGTTACAAGTATGAGTGGTTTTGTATTTGAGTGGGGTGAATTATGGGGTTTTTACTGTAAATGTTTTCCTTGATGTCATCCTCTACATCCAACAATGGCGAAGGAGGCATGATGGGGGTTGTTCAGAGGGACACCGAGCATCAAGAAGCACTCACTAATCCTGATAGGGATTTTGGGTATATAGTTTGAGTCTCTATCTCTTTATCATGGTGTTAGAAGCACTATTACAAGAGTATAGGTCTGGTCTGCCCTGGGAGTTGTTTTATGCTGATGAATTAGTATTGATAGCAGATACTATTGAAAAGGTAGTGAAGATATTTAAGAAATGAAAGGATAGAATAGAGTTGAAGAACAGACCGAACGTGGCAAAAATTTAAGTACATTACAGCTCGGTAATTGTTAGTGATATGGGTAAAGGACCTGTGGTGGGAAATAGAAAATGTCCATGTGCTGTCTGTAAGAAGGGTGTTAGCAGTAAGTTGATAATATGCAATGAATGTGGAAGGTGGGTACACAAGAGGTGCAGTGATTTAAATGGCAGACTGCAGGAAGTTAGTGTGCTGTTTGTGCAGGTATACATGTGGCTTTAGCAAAGCTGGAAAAGTTCAGCATTAGGCATATGTCCCTGGTCTATGTCGATGAGTTATGCTACCTGGGTGACATGATTAATGCTGGCAGTGGTGCTGAAGCTGGTTAGCTTAGTTGTAATAATCAAAAGTAGCTGGAAGAAGTTAAGGGAGCTGTTGCTTTTAATGATAGAGGGAGAACTTATTTTTGCTTGAAAGGAAAGTTGAATGCACCCTGCATGTGAAGTGTGTTGGTGTATGGCAGTGAAATAAGGCCAGTTAAAAGAGGATAACATACACAGGCTTAAGTGAGTCAAAATGACAGTGGTGAAATGGATGTGTAACATGATGTGGGATTGCATGCTCGATCCAGAGCTAAGGGGGCTGCTAGGTACTGTACAGTATTAAGAGCATTGGTCAGGTTTTACACAGAGGTAGGCTAGGATGGTTTAAATATGTGGAGAGAACAGAGTTGAACAAATTGGTCAAAACATATACGAGTTTGAATGTGGAGGGGAAGTGAGCAAGGGCCCTAGGGGTAGGTAGGCCAAGAATGACATGGGGAGAGATTGCAAGAAATTACCTCAAAGATAAGAAAGGGAATCCTCCCATTAACAGACACGGTCACCACAAATTATTCCCATATTGGGTGAGAGTACTGGACAGTGTTTTCATAACATGTATTAAAGTATTTTGTTGTATCATATCTCCAACACCCTACTCCTGTGGGAAGCTCCCCTCTGAAGGTATAGCCATGAAAAGAAAGCCTACTCCTCTTTCCTCCCTTATTTGCTGAATTTATTATTTGCATTGTCACTTTTATAATTTAGTGGACCTTTTTTCACATACTTGATCACTGCTCAGTTCGTACTCTCAGCCCTCTCAGCCTTACCAAACCTTCAATGCATTTTACTGATTCTCTCTCCTTCCATTCTGTTGCCTCATATTGAGCCATCAGTTTTATCATGTCTGTGGCTTAAAATTTAGAGCACTGTTTCCTTCAGTTCCATGATTTAGTACGGTATGTGAAGGCAGGAAGGATTATACAGTACTGTACTATCTCTCATTTCCTTCTTTGTCCCTAAGTTCGCCTTCGTTTCCTTACTAATACATCCCAGGTATCCTATCACTGACCTCCCATGTATTATTTTGTCCTTCATTTCACTCTCCAACAGTAGTGCTGGATGACCTAAATGTTACAGTGCTGGTAATATTAGTACAGTATTGAGATTGTGTTACAGTAATTTTATCATATGTATACTGTACTGCACTCTGTATCTCAAGTTTTTGTTAATAATGAATAAGTCAACTTGAATTTGTCATTGGAAGCTAAGGATACAAGGTGTATGTATCTTTACAGCAGTTGTCCTCTGGTAAAGTGGAACATTGGTTGCCAAGTCTATTCAATAACGTGGTAAACCATGGAATCTACCGAGTCTAATGTCCGTATGCCTGGCGTGCTCATGCCCACATATCTCAGATTGATAAGTAAGTAAATTAAAAACAGGCTCAGTATGTCATCAGTGCCTTAAGAGATTGCTCTTGACCTTCAAAAAAAAAAAATCGTTACCTTTGTATATTAGGAATACAAATGTGCAGACTTTGAAGAGTTTTCCTTCATGATTTGTTTACTTGAAAACTTATATAATATCAATTAAGACTTTTCTAGGTGACTCAGGTTATGCAACAGCTTAGTCTATGAAATTAAAACCCAGATTCAACATTTTAAATACTGTAGTTTCTTCCTTCCGGTAAGCAAAGCCCAAAGTACTATGGTCCTCCCAGTGGCAAGAGTTGCCATTTAAAGCAGAAAGGCCATTGCGTCATTGTCACATTGACAGTCAGCAACACACCTGTCACTGGCTTATTAGATGGTAATGGATCTGTTTTGTATCTGCCAGCTTCATTTGGGGTAGATAATTTCTATGGTACTGTATATGCTAATGTACAGTCAACAGCAGAAGTTTGTCCCAGCCAACCTGCATGACATGAAGCAGGTGATCTGTACTTTGTCTTCATGACAGCAACAGCAGAAAATCCTGTTTCTTGTAAGCACTGTCCATTGTCACAAAAGGAACAAGAATGTTCATGGTCCTGTGTGACAAGATGGGACCCTGTACAGTACTTCCTTTTGACATGAGGCAAAAACTTAAAACATTTAAGGAATAAATGCCTGTTGTAACAAACCATCACCTGATTATTCAATAAGTTGTTCTTGTTCAAAAGTTGTCAAACTAAAAACAGTGTTTGCAGCTAATTAATTCCTCCATCGAGACCTTGACGTGCTTAACAGTTTTGCTATGGAATACACATCTTTGCACACACACAAAATAATTTCCTTTGTCTGAGTAATATGCATCCCTGTATTTGGAAAGACCATCAAAACGTCATTCAATAGCCCACACTTCCATAACTCTTCCCAGGGTATAATATGCCCATGGGGACCCAGAAGGTGCTGCATCTGTTGTCCACAAGAGTTAAGTGCCCCTTTTAAACAATGCCTCACTCAGTCCACTGGTATTACCCATGGAAGATGTGTACAAGACTCCATATCCCAGTTTTCGACCATAAATAAAGGGAAGATTTGGATAAAAAAAAATCAAGATAATTGACATATTGTCTGTTGTTTATAAACAGAGAACTACACCTGTAATGTTAATTTATGATGTTTAGTTGAGAAATGTGTATCACCGCTTTGTTTTCAAGCATGACAGCGGTTTTTGTTTTGTTTCAATCGTGGTGTATTTTTCCCCTCTCCCATACTTTCTTGTTCAACTTTATGGGTTGGAAGTAGACTGTTTTGTGTTCTATATTTACCCGAGGTGAAAGTGCATTCAATGTTCACCTAACTTATGGGTTTCATTTTACATATACTGAACAGTATCAGTAAATTCCCCATAACTCGGTACATAGGGGGCTAAGACCTTGCCGAGTAATCAAACTTGCTGACTTATCAGTAATGAGGTTATACTGTATATCAAGAAATAAAAGCAGTTGGAATAGGTACTTACCAACAGCATGGGGCAATTTCTTGATGAATTTGTAAGAGGCAAACAATCTACTGTATACAGTACAGTACATACTGTATTGTGTGCAACACTTCACAGGCACTGTACAGTACAGTGCTGTATAGTAAATTGTTCTGATGAACTTAACATTACTGGAAGTACACTTGACCCTCGCTTTATGCGCATTCACTATATGCAAATTAACGTTTATGCGGTTACCCTATTTCTACCCACAATTAAGTTTATGCAGAAAAGATTCTATATTATTCTTTCTGTAGAAGATATGGCACACTACATTAGAGTATTTAATGATTTTCGGCAACTTTTAGTGCATTAATGCTCCAGAAATGGTTGTGAAACGTGGCACAGTGTGTGTGTCTACTGTGCTCTATGCGACGTCCATGCCCTTCATATGTCTTAGTTTATAGTTTTATATTATATTATATAGTTCTATATTATATTATATAGTTCTATATTATATTATCTTTATTCCTAATGCACATTAGAGAATTGTAATGATTTTTCCACAACCTTTATAGCATTACTGTTGACTTTTAGTAGTTGTGGAACATATCCTAATTTTCCCAATAAGATTAAGTACAGTATTCACTATATGCTGATTCCCATTATGCTGTATTGTCACAGATTGCAACCATAGCATAAAGCGAGGGTCAGGTGTACTGTACACTTTATACATAACAATAACACTTCACAGACACTGTAATTGATTGTCCTGACAAACTTTAGACTACACTTTATACATAACACTTAACACACACTGTACAGTAACACTTCACAGGTACTTAATCTGTAAGAAAGTCTACCTGTGATGAGAGGTGCACATAAACTGATGCTCGTGGGCCGGGTTGCCAAATTGTTGCGTGTGACTCGGCTCTTGCCGACTACTCTCAAGTGCCCAAAAGTGTGTACAATTTGGTCATACTCAAGGCTCATTTGATCTCTTTTTTTTTTTAGACATTCTTTGATCTGAATGAAACTTAATCAGGTCTAAAGATTTTTGTTGAAAAGTTGGTTTATTATTTGAAACAGTACTGTACTGTACTGTATTTTCTTTTGAGATTGGAGATATAAACATACTGTACTGTAGTTAGCACCATTCTCTTTACAGTTGAGGTTAATCTGCCTTTAAGGTAACATGACCTTTTTTGTCAAACAACTTTATATTTAATTGGCATACTATAATATTAAATTAGCACAAATGGACTGCAGAGTGGGGCTTGTGGCATCGTATGCTTTGCATCATCGATGGGTTTTCTGTGAAACATGTAACTGTATGAGGTGGATGGTCATCGGCAAGAACGTTTACATGATGATAATACGATGGAACCGCACAAATTAACAGTAACTTTGAAGAATTTGTAACATTAGGTTTTCCTTACTAATCTGTTTAATTACCTTCAGGAGTGAGATGCATAAAACAAAGCAGTTTTTATTTCATCCAATTTCCAATGTCAGGTTGTCTTCAAGTGATGTAAGTTGCCCAGGATGATCATAAGATTACAGGGGGCCCCCCAAATTCGCAGGGGTTAGATTCTCAAAGTGGCTACGAATCGCCAAATCCGGGAATAACATTTGCTGACCGGGGGACATTTTTACTTGTGTACAAAGAAATATATACAGTACTGTATTTCCTTTATGTGTTTGCCCTTAGGACAATTATATTTTTTACCTGTGTTGTATATATGTGTGTGTGTGTGTAGACACACACACACACACACACAAAACACATACAAATAAATAATAATGGGAAAATACTCTCACAAATAATCAAACATGTTTATAAAAGATGTGACAGTCTACCCTCAAATCCGTGCTTTATTAATATCTACTCACAGACATTCTTGGGGACATCCAGACTGTCATCCGTGAATAATAGAGGACCGCGAAATAAAAATCCGCTAATTTTGGGGGGGCCCCTGTATAATTGATGTGTTATTCCTGAAATCCTGTTTTATAATGGAGACCAGACTGGGTAACTGGGATGCCCTCCATTGTCCTAAAGGTAAGCCATGAAACCGCTTACAGGGAAGTTTGGGTGGTTGTTGTCTCATGTTTCTACAGTACTGAACAAGTTACAGGTGTGTTGTGTGCGGCTGATGTGGCAGTGATTGATTAAATAGCCTTCTGCTTTAAGTTGCAACTTCTGATTCCGTGAGGACCCGTTTGAGGTCTCTGCTTACAGGAAGGAAGAAAACATATCTTTTGATTAGTTTCAGTTACAATTTCAAGGAATTTATCTATATGTTTTAACCCTGCAGATTTCAAGATCAATTAATTTCATCATTCATTTTGCAACAAAATATTTTTGTTATTCTTCATAGGCAATTTCTGTGCATGATAGACTTCTACCTTGAAGTAGTGGATAACATGGATAACTAAATCAGAGTAGGATATTCCCTGACGAGAATTTTCTTGGGCGGGATAACAAGGTGAACTTATCTCCTGTTATCTAGCTATGTTAGTTCGTCAAATCTACCCAAAATCAGACCACAATCTCCAAATTGTAATTGCGGGCAGCTGGCCTGACAACACCAGGGTTTAGTGTAAGAGACATCAATATTTGTTAACGCTTTTACTGGTGTTAGATTGTACAGTAGACTAGTTTACCTTGGCTGCCCATGGAATGACTGCATGTGTAGATTATCTTGACTCACTGTATGCTTTGGTAATGAATCAGGTAATTCAAGTTATTTATGTAACTGTTATCAAGAAGAATACAGTTATACAGTATAAATAAATTATTTGGGGGAATAAAACTGAAACAGAAACAACATGAATATGACTTTTAAGATATTGTTCTACTTTGAAAACAACAAATTTCTGACAGTATTACAGATCAGCCATGACAGAATACAGTATAATTATGCCTTTTTTATAACTTTGATCAAGTTCGAATATGATAAAATAGACAAATTTTATCTGAAATAATAATACTGTACTGTACTGTATATTGTACTGTAATTTTACAATCATAATTTGTCCACATAATTTTGTTACTCCCATGGAGAATGAACGCTTGATTTTCTTTCATCAGTTTAAATTGATTTTATATGCTGGTCCAGTTTTGTTCACCTTTTTACCTATATGTACTTAAATACTGTACTACTGTAGTGTAGTAGTTGTACCTCCCTTCCTAACACACATCCTGTAAAGGAGGTAGATAGTACTGGAGACCATATGATACTTTTCAGTTCCTAAGATGTAACTTCTTCTTATTATCTGCCATGAACCACCCCTCATATCACATTTGATAATGTTCAGAGTAAAGTTGCAAGAGCAAAAATTATACCGTATACTGTACAAGAAAGTTAGCTGATGGAGTAACAGAGCTGTTAAGGTTCCTGGTACAGTACATAGATTTATACTGTAATTTTTCTGATACAAAATTTGGAAAATACAGTACAATAATGAGTTAAATTCGAAATACTGTATACAAACGAGAAAAAACTGTGACCCAGGTACAGTACACATTCACTCTCTCTTTCTCTCCTTTCCAACCCCATACACATTTGCAAATTTTGCCATCTTTCAGATGCAGTACTGTACTGTACTGTACATCTTTTTATACCTTTCAACTTTTATCATTTTTTGGCACTTTTAAATTATGGTGCAAACAAGTATCATGATGATAAGTCATGTGGCCCCAGGTTCTAATTTCCCCCAACCTAACTAACCAAATTTAACATTATGTAATTCTTAGAATCTGAGCTTGATTCTAAGGACCCAACCCAACCTAACCTAACCTAATGTAAGTAATTTTTAGAATTTAAGCACAGTTCTTTTATACCCAAATTTAACTACAGTATATGGACAAGGAACACAGTCTTGATGTGAACCATCAACGTTACTGAAAGGTTTGATTAAGTTGGGATATCTCAGGGCTGGGTACCTTTTGACCATCAACCAGATCAATTCTTTTACACTTTTCAAATTCAGATCAACACAAATCTTAAGCAAAGTACCCAGAAAATTTAAAGAAAAAATATGACTGTTACACCACAACAGAAACAAGAACATGTTAAAAAATGTCAATTGTGGGCCTCTGTATTCGCTACTGTTAGATGTCCATTATTACTTAAATTGATACCTCAACCTGGTGGTTTGTTTATAAGATTTGGTCCTCAGACTCAGCAGAAATTAATGGAGGAGTATAATGAGTAAAAAATTAGATAAACTGACTCACTCCATGGTGAGTTTCACCACCATTATCCTACACCTCCAGGTAGAACACAGGCATAGTGTGAACTCTGCCTGTCTTTTTTGCAATTTCAGACTTTCAACAATCCACCTCAGCCCATCATGTTTCTCACAGCTGAATTAGTTTGATTTGATTTCATGACAAAGCTAGAGAAGATGCAACAATTGTCATTTATTCTTACTTTGAATACCTTCATCATCTAAAGATTCTCCTTATAATATACAGTATATCTTGATAGATTTATTATATAGTATATTTATCAAACTCATATTACAGTGCAATGTCATATTTTCCATATTTTTTCCAATATATCTTTTGTTTATCTAGAGTTATATCTACTGTACTATTGTAGATTTTATATACCTTTAAGACAAACTAAAAAAAAATATTTAGGAAATGAAACACTTGTTATGAAACGAACAGTTAACTGATTATTACCACAGTACAGTACTGTACAATATAGAGGTCACAGTTAACTAAAGTAATATACAGTATTTGTTCTTAGTATTAATTCTCTTAAAGGTTAATTGTACAAAATTATCAACTATGATGTCTGAGTTAGTTTCTTCTTCATTGGTTAAGAAAACTATTTTGAATACTAATTTCATCTCTTATTTTATATTCAGGTACAGAGGACGGTAGAACTGCAATGAAGAGAATACGTGTCGAGTGTGGGGTCTGTAAGGCAACACGATTTTATTCAATTCATAGAGGAATTACACGCATTGCGGGAGTTGTGGCATGTGAGGCATGTCGGCAGTTCTACCAGCGCTTTAAGAAACAGCCATGGATTTTGAACTGTAACAAAGGGGGCAGGTTTGTGTACAATTTGAACTATTATTTGTTTACCTAAAATTTTAAGGACTATTGTATATTAAGCTTGTTGTGTGTGTCTCATGTTAGTGTAATGTTCAACTCTGTCCCTTCTGTTTTGCTATCCACTAAGGTGCATCCACCCTACTGACACAACTTTGATATGATCTCTATCAAAACATTACAACTGGGCGAGCTTAGGCCTCAAGTAGGCACAGCACTGTTTATTTGGTCATGGTCAAGATTATCAGTGAAGGTTATCCCATGCTAGGAAGCACAGTTTTGACCTGTCACCACCAGATTTTCATATATACCTAATTGATTTTTATAAAGTATACTGTACTGTATATATATTTATGTAGTACAGTACTTATAACATCACATGTGGTTGTAAAATAATTTTTTTTATTCAATCTGCTAAATTAGATTTTCCTCGTCTATCAGTTCTGTACATGTGTTGATCAGTGAAGAAGAGGGGGTGTGGCCCGTTGTTAAGGCAGGTGACCACTCCATTGCTAGGGAGGTAGTTTGGTTTGGGAAATCATTGCTAGGGAGTGCAGGATGACAACCTCGTGCATCGCCTTTCTGCTGACTCAGAGATTTGATGGGCTAGTGCTGAGCATTCCTTGGAACATTTGGTATTTTGTTTTATTCCTTGAGACATTTCCTACCTATTATGGTAGGCCTAATTTAGTTATATCATTCAAAATATAAAATGAGTTTGTTGCAATATTATTGGTGAATAACAATGTCTCAAGAACCTTTATCAAAAACCTTCATGCTTGGTGTCATTTTTTTTTTTTTTTGCACAAGAATTGTAAAGATACTTTTTTTTACCTATTGTACAGTAGATAGATAAATGTGCTCGCTCAGGGGCGGATCCAGGGGAGGGGTCATGGCCCTCCCTTTTTTTTCATAAGAAAATTCCTAAAATAATTTTTTATTTATTTTTTTTTATGCAGTACAGTATTGTACTCAGGCATTTTTGTATGGTAAAATATAATTACTATTGGCCTCAATATCTCTTATTGTCAATTGCACATGGCTTCAAAATGACCTCAAAATGCCCATGATATTGGTCAGATTACAAAAAATTTTCTGGGGGGCTTACAGCGCCCTCCCTAAAACCCCCCAGCTGAGTGGGCTCACTGTGTTTGCCATGTTTCCCCACCCACAACTTTTTGGCCCCCCCCTCCCCCCTGACATTCCTGGATTTGCCCCCCATCGCTAGGGTGGTGGTGATTATTGTGGTTGGAGGTAGTGGTGGTGGGTGGTCAGTTGGATATGACACTTCTCAATAAATCATTCATTACTACATCTTATATACAGTACTGGTAATAAATTATTTCAATATTATGTTTATAGTGAGTGATGTTGATGGCTTTCATTTTGTTTCAGATGTTTTGGTTTAGATGAAACGCCAAAGAACAAATGTAAGGCATGCTGGGTAGCCCACATTATCTGCCGCTGCCCCGTACCAATGAACATGTACAACCATCTCGTAGGGTACCTGCCCACAGACCTAAAGGTGAGCACTGTGTTATATAGGTTGCACTGAATTTTGTACCTATTGGTATTTAAAAGTAGCATTTGCTGTAGGATGTAGAATGTTCAAGTTACAGACAAGTTACATATATTTATCTTTTGAATTAGTATGAAAAGCTTAAGCTATTCATTATCTGTTATTAATTGTACTCTTCCTCAGCAGCAGGTTATCTATCTAGGCCACACATGTTCTACAAGGTGATCCTAACCCGTGAGATAGAGACAGACTCAATTTTTTAAATTTGTAGAAGGGGAACAATGTGTATCAGCCAGACTAAGTTGTATACAATAAAAAAGGTTAAATAATCCATGAGATACATGTACAGTACAGGTATGTCAAAATATTTTAATGAGAGTGAGTATAGTGAGGACTGCCCATACAGTTATTTTATATTTATACAAATACATCTCATCAGTCCATACAACACGTGGGCTTCGTACAAATACAGCAAAATCACCAAATACTGTACTGTATTCCAAAAATGAATACATAAACATACCACTGCACAGTATTTTGGGTTGCTTGACTATCTTGTGGAATAATTAGTAACCATCTGTATGCATAAAGACATCGTCACAGTTGTAGTCCAGAATACTTCATTATCATTATTACCTTCATCATTAGTAGTAATAATCTTTTTAATTACATTATTATAATAATATTAAAATCGTTGATGTTGATATTACTACGACTTTATAGTAATAACTCATAAGCACCTCACCAGGCATCACACTGCCAGGCAACCAGGCGAATACGCGCGGCAAATTTTAACTGTCTTGAGCACTGTATTTAAAAAATAGGTGTGCATAAATTAACTTTTGGTATTAATTGAACAATCGTGTTATTCCAAAACACGCTTAAATGAAACGCGCGTAAAACACGAGTTACCTGTCCTGTAATTTAGCTTGAACTATGTACAGTAACATGACCAGGAATTCACTGCTATCACACATTGACCTTAAATAAGATCATTGGTGACAGGGCTTCACAAGGCTGTCTTGTGCATTTCTTTTTAAACAAGGTGGTTAGCAAACTATCAATTTGTGATAAAGTCCCTAGGAATGCTTAAGTCAGTGCATTGGACTGTTGATGAATAATGATGGATTATTCTTATTACATGTATATTAGTCTTATTATTTTGCAGATTAAGAATAATTTTTGAAAACACAAGTGATAAGTAATCATACAGTGTGTGTTTGTGTGTGTTAGTTCCCTTGGCCTGTATAAATGTCATATTATACTGTATATATTGCTTTATAGAGTAAGATGGCTGGCAGACCACCAACTGCAGACGAAGTCCCTGAGAATGAGCGTGGAGGACTGGGTCTTGAAGTATACAGGGGTAATGATTGGGTGGATGTGACAGATAAGGAAGAAGTGGAATCGCTTTTGCGGAATGAGGAAGGAAACGAAACAGATGAAACCAATGACCCAGATCTGGATATGGAGTTTGAAGCTGAGGAAGAAATTGTTGATGATCCAGTATGTTTTAGTTTTCTTCTTTCATTGAGGGAATGTGGTCTAATATTTACATCATCAGTTTATTATAATATTTTAGTATTATTTTTAATAGCCGTCCAAAGTTAGAAATTTTAATATTTTCAAGAAAGCTGTGCAATATACATGATGTGGAGGAGATAAAAATTGAAGATTTGAATTTATGAATATTACTTTATAACCAAGGGGCAAAGACAAGTGACTTTTTGTGATCAATGATGAGCCGGCCTGCACCATGAAGGTTCTTTAATGAGTATTCTGTTTTTTTCTCTAGCATCTGATGAATTGTAAAAGTAGCCAACATGGGAGGGTACAGGGGAAGGTGTGGCATTCCCCTTGTGTCAGATGCTTGTGATATGTTCCAGTGGAGTGGCTGGTTACATTGACTGAATATATCAGTTTATATATTGTTGCAGAATTGTTGAATGGTACTCAGCATTCTGGGATTCTCGAGGGGTCCCATACCTCATCCCTCTGATATAAAATTGGATATTCTTTTTCAATCCTGTGTTTCACTTACACTTTTACAAACACATTATTATTCATATTACAACAGTCATTCCAACACACCCTCATAATCACATTAGTGCTCAACCCTGTCACCACGACAAAAACCATCCTACACACCACCACCATATAGCAGTTACTAGTCACCCCAACACTCATGGAAAAAACAAAATAAAAAAAGCCAGTGGTATTACGACTAGTGGGATATCAGAGCATTCCACCAAAGACACACAGCAGTACAGTATTTCACAACCATGTACCAAGAGCATTCTCTGGTGCACTGCATGGTGTTCTAGTATGTACAGTCACCTACAAAACTCTTGTTGCCTCTTCTGCTGTTCCATGAACCCCGAGATTCAGACGTATAAACGCAAAGCATTAGACACTGATGATTTTTTCTGTCCACAAATGCTCCGAATTCATGAGTCTGAATCTTGTAGTTCGTGGTTCAGGAAGAGAGGTGACAGGACTTTTGTGGGTGACTGTACAAGGTATGTCCTCTTGTTTTAAGGTTAAAAAGGGGTAAGAAAGAAACTGAATTTCTTGGTGATAATTAGTTGTCACACAGCATATTCACAATCCATTCAGTTCAGACCTTGTCATATCCAGAATTGCACGACCAACACTCACTTCACTGACCTCAACTACCAACACCGTGGAATGATAAGAACTGGCCTGTTTGTGCACTTTGGGTTTTATTGGTTAGGTATCTACAGGGATAGACTTTGCATTTAAGGCAAGAATGGATTTTAATTTCTGTTTTTTAATTAGTTGTGTACATGTATTTCCAAACTAATCAGGTAGAGCAAGAATGGCACTTGAAGTCCTTTGCTGTCTCTAGCATGGTGTTAATTATGTTCATACAGTACGCAAGTGGTTTATGTGTAACAGGTTTACTTCGGACATTTTGTTGAACAGTACTGTCATATTTAAGTAAAGTTTCAAGATAAATATTAACCAGAGCTGGATGCACCCCTGCTGCTCGCTATCACAAACCCAGGACCTGGTATACAAACAACCTGATACTTTACCAAAAGCAGTCCAGTGGCCCACTATGACCAGCTTCAGGGATGCGCTTCCATGCACAACATGCATGCTTGATGATGGAGAAGCCTCTCAGGGTTCTACCCATGAGTTTGGGCTCCTGTACTATCAAGTGGAAGCACTAGCTTGTAAGACACTCACCTGGTACCCTGTGTACAGGCAGCGTGGCAGACAGAAAATGCAGCACATCAGGGGAAAACACAGCTCTGGTGTCCCTGTTGCCACCAGGCAGATATGAAGTACACATGAACCCTTCCAGGCTCGGTTATAAACTGGGATTTAAGGAACAATCCCATATTTTCAAATCTATTTCCCCCACAGAGTGTGCCAGAGACAAGTTCAACTGATACTTCCCTTTCTACAAATTCTGAAGCAAAGAATAACAAAGTGCAGTCCAAGAAAGGCAAAAAGACTGCAAAGTCAGATACTAATACTGAACAAGTATGTATTGTACAGTATTATGTTTTCAGTGAATTACACACTTACATTTAGTATATTGTAATAGCAGTTGCAAATTGTGTTCTAAAAAATATTCCAGCTCTGAAGACTTAAAATTATATGAGTACTGTACAGTACTGTAGTTCTAATCCAAGGGTCCACAACCCCTATTTTTCTGGACGCATGTGGCCAGAAAGGGGTACGTATGCAGCCGGCTGAGTGATGTCTAAATTTTGACCTATGTGGCCGGAATTTTGGAAGCATGTACATTCTGTCAATGTTTGGATCAAGTTACTGCTGTGAGCTGACATTCAGTGTGCTTACCTTTGTGGAAGAACAAGTACTGCTCTAAGCTCACAAGAAGTCACACCACAGAACTTGTGAAAGCTGCTCTAACACACTTTGAACCAACTTTGTCTGAAATTGCAAATCACATCCAGGTTCAACTCTCACATTAGTTTTGGTATTGTTCTGTTTATTTTTATTAGGAATTGATGCCCTGATTTTCCTTTATAAAAAGCAAACTATATTTTACCTGAATATAACACTTAGAGGAAATTTTTTTGTCATCAAACCATTTTTTATGGGGGAGGGGGTATTGTACTGTGTACTGCACGATGTCATAATACCATTTTATAAAGCAATTTCCCTGTATGCTTGTATTTCGGGTGCGAATCGGTTATTGAACCGCTATTTTGTACTGCTCGAAGACAGTTTCATATTTTGTTTTGCTAAAAGTTATGTGTCCCTAATTTCTTTACAGAATATTTAACTAGGCTAGTGACTAGTGCTATTATTACAAAGCAGAATATACTATACCTGTATGTATACTGTATGCTGAAAATGAAAGCTATGTTTAGTCTTAAATATCGGTGATATTTATAACCATTTTCTGACAATAAACTATAGTCCTGCATTTCTAATTCTGTGTAACACAGTGCTGACTTATGTTGGCTTGTACACCTGCAGCCGATCACTGTTTACTTGTACCTTTAAGTGGCCGACTGGTGTATAAAGGTTGCGGACCCCTGGTCTAATCAGCTGGATTTGATTGAAAGTTGTACAATAATTTTAAACTTTTTAGATCTTTAAGATAGTCTCATGAGATCCATAGGGATTGGTTTTCACATTAGTGAAATATCCACAGCACACCCCATGTGTTCCTCTCTTATTGTTTACATTCTTGCCCACTCAAAAGAAGTGCAATTTGTGCACTGAACAGAACATTTATCTGATACAGTACATTTATATATAAAATATAGAGAAAACTTTGACAAGTACATAGGGTTTAAAAGGACTAAAAAATTTGCAAGAAAAATCAGTGGAAGCTTATTCAGTACAGTACAGTAATATATTGATCAAATAAATGAAAAAATATGCTTCATATTGAGACCAGAATTAATAGACTACACACTATAAATGAATTTTTAAGAGAAAGACTTTCGATTTTTCATTACATGTTAGCTCAACCACCAAGTTACTGACCACTATACTAATGATATACTTGATAAATTATTTTATAACCCCTAGCTGACGGCAGTGCCCGAGAAAGGAACTGCAGTGGTCAGTACAGTATTAACTATTTTGTTCAGATTTATCTGGTGCTTGCTGAGAGATGCATTAACCCCTAAGCCCCGGGTTAGGGTGCTGCTGGCGGTACCCCCCACCCCCCCTTCGCGCGGGGATAAATCAAGAAAAAAATAAACTTTTTCAAAAATAATTAAACAAATAAATAAATAATAATAAGAATAAAAAAAAAATGGCGGGAATATATGCAGACGTTCTGGAACGTCACCCGGGGCCTAAGGGTTAACCTTGCTTTGTTTTTGTCTCAGGCATGAAGCTATAGTACAGTATTATGATATACAGTATAATATTATCCCCCTTTTTTATGAAGGTTAGGAAAACACAGATTTTTCTCCTAAATTCAACCAGCTGGGTTTTTCTTAGTTTGTTCTTGATAATACATTATTAGTCTTGTGCACTTAAGCTAGATATCTTTTAGACATTTTGCATAGACAAACCTTTTTCCCTTACGAGAATAGCCCATTTCATCCCTGTTAATGTAATTTTTGTATTTTGGCTTTAATGAAGTCGTCTTCCCAAGAAATTATGAATCCACTAATTTTAAAACATTAAATTCACCAACCATACCCAACCAATTAACCAACCGTACCCAACCTATCCTACTTAACTTGGTTAAGTTTGGATGGTACACATCATCTTTAAAAAATCACTTAATCTTGCTGTCTGAAAGTTGTCATTTGTGTAATAGCAGCTCATATAGAACTTAAAAGATCCATATTTTTCTTATTTTGTTTTGTATACTGTATATGGCTAATAGTACATAAAAGAAAGATTGAAAATTGAGAAAAGGTACTTACAGTGACTGTGCACTTACATAATAGTGTACAGAAATAATTAGTGTAATGAGAAAGTGAGTGGTTGCTGGCATCTCTATTGAACAACAACAGTGGATATGGAGTATTTTCAAGGAAGGAAGATAAAAAAATTTCATTATGTACAAAATGTTTTAATCATGAATTTGCCATTTTGTTTATAAGTACGGTAGATTTGATAAGCAGATATGATATAATGAAATAAAGTTTTTTCTTTTTTATTGACTGGAAAAGTGAAGGGATCATTGTCATAATAAAGAATATGAATCTGTATGGCTGACTACAGATTGCTGTCACCTGTATACGTACTGTATATGTACACTATGAGCATGCTTAAATTTTGCTTGAGAACTTGACTTGGCAGTTTTTTATCAGTTGAATTTTATCCAGACTGTTTTATTTGACAAGCCATTCTTGACCTTAAATGATTGGACAAATCTGTTCATAACATCAAGTTATGGATTACTGTTATGAAGCTTAATAGGGACATACTGTATAGTCAGCCACTGCTTATCTGAAGGATCATTCCTGGTGTGTTCTATTCATCAGCATTTAAGAAAATTACTAACCTTTTGTCAGGAAGGGAATTTTTAGCTGTGAAAGGTATTTCCTTTAGCATTGCAAGTGGCTTTTACTAAGCTTTTGTGGATCATCCCAGACTTGGCTCATAAGAGAGGAATTTTCTGTATCGCATGTTTAGGTGATTTTTTTCTGGGGCAAGTCTTCCAATGAGTTGTTCTGGGCAATTTTCAAGTAGAAAGTTATTTGTAATACCCAGTGATTGACTATCATGCTGGCTTGGCATGCTAGTGAACTAGGAGAAATCTTAACTCTTTTCCTCCAGCTAATAATACATTTGAAAGAATCTGACACGGAGGAAGAATCTATGTTCTCCAGAGCATGGCAGGTGACTTAGGGGTTGGAATTTAGACTCTGACTGAAAGAAGGGCATGAATATACAGTATGTTATTATATCTGTGACATTGGAAGTCTGAATTTCTCGCTATAACTGACCCAGAACCAGCTAGGTGAGAAACAATCTTTGATCAAACCAGTAAGCTTACTTTGTACAGTATACAGTCACCTCTCAATTTACACGCATTTAATTTGCACGTTTTTTATATAACACAAGTATTAATTAATACCGATTTTAAAAATAACAAAGTTTTTGAAATAGCATTGTTTTGAAAGGAACGCCATTGTGCCAGGCAGCGTAGTTCAGTACCTCTTTGCTTTCCCACTTCACAAAAAAGGGAAAAGAAATATCACCTGAACCTCAGGCATCTCGAAAGTTCCCACTTCTCCCCCATCATCTGCTCTGTCAACTGATTCAGATGACTCCCTCCCCCAGTAACCCCCCACCACTAGTTCCTGCATGCCATCCCATCCATCATTTGATGTAAACGTTAGCACAATTTTATTTTTGAATCTATTTTTCTAACTACAGTACTGAATTATTAGGTTTGCTTCTATTATTGTATTATTATTATTATTATTATTGTTATTATATTATTGTAAATAAAACATATTGAAGGAAATAGATAAACAAATTACAGTTTTTAAGGAGCATTTCCCCTAACCCCTGCCATTTCCTTTATTTCTTATGGGATAATTAAGTTTGATTTACTTGGCCATTCTCAAGAACGTAACTACCGTGTAAATCGAGAGATAGCTGTACAAGTTCACAAATTACAGTTCCACACCAATACATCAAAGTCTGCTCAACAAAGGAGTCCATCAAAACATTCTGTACATAATATAGTGTAAGGATGTGACGTTATGTAGATATGAAATATATCCATGTGTTTTCAATTAATTTATTTGCAGGGTTTGACTTGTTCAATAGATGGACTGCAAATCAATGATCAGCAGTTAAAATTCATGGAGAACTTCAACCCCAAAACTAGTGAAAGAGTCAGACGCAAGAAAAAGAAGGTGCAGTACTTCAGCAGCACAGGAAGGTAAATTGTGGGAAAACATTGTTTAGGAAAATTAAGAACCTGCCATAAGACAGTCAGTAACAAATGAAAGGAGATTACCGGCAGTGACAAAGAAAGTAGCATGGAAGAAAACTTTCTTAGTGGATGAGTGGTAGTGTGGGATTATAGAGTGGATAACAAAGTTTAATTTGGTGGTGCAAAACTTTAGGGAAGAAGAAATTTGAGGGATTGGGAAGACAATTAATAATCATTTTTAGATAATAGAAAACTACAATGAAAGAAAATAAGAGGGATTTTATATACAGGGTATATATATCTTATAGGAAAAAGGCTTTTAGGTTAATGAGAGTTAGGGATATGAATAACCCCCAAAATATTACTTTTAAACAAAATGGAATGTTAATTTTCTTTAAAGTTGATAAATACAGTAGTGTTGGTATTTAACCCATTCACTACGAGATGCCACTTTTCTATTTTATTTGGTTAACACCAGATGATTTTGTTCAGCACAGAGAGCCCTCCTACTGTATTAAAGGATATAGCTATATTCTTTCATGCAAGCCTTGTTATAGTGAGCGCCAATAAACCAGTATTTTATAATCCAGCATGATTTCAAATACTCATATACAGTGGGTATATTGTACTGGTATGCGTCCATGCATTGGAAGTCCGCCCATTTGATGCCTTTTAACTCGTTTTAAAATTGCTATGCAGTATTGTACTGGGCTCGCCAGACATTTACCCTTTAATGACTTTGGTTAACCAACTTAACTTTCCAAAAATTACACATAATGTCACAGTAGTAAGTAAATATTTTAATAAAGCCCAGGAAGTTAATTACTGGTATGAGATACACCACTGAATAGTAGAAGTGTGGGAAGCACTGGGAGACAATAGGGATCCGAGGCAGAGGGTGAAGGCAAGTCAAATTCAAAGCCTTCAAAATCAACTACAGACACTTGTAAAGTGGCTTCAGCTTCATCACCAATCTCCAGAGTGACTGGGTCATTGTCACTGTATTATCCCTGATCTTCATCACATTGTTGAGGTGGAAAATAGGCAGTGCTGAGAGCTTGGTGACGGCATTCAATAAACTCTTGGTAACATTGCCTGTAGGGTTCCATCAAACTGTCTAACTGTGCACTGAGTTCATCACTGCATTGCAGGCTGGGCTCAACACTCATTAAAGCATCCTTGAGTTTTTTCAACCATGCTAAGAACTTGTGTAACTTGCTGCTGAATCATGCCTCCCTCGGTCTGCTCTGGTTCTGCCACTTCCTTCCACTGCCTCAAACTCACTCTCCTCGTCTTCCATCACATTGTATATGCATAATGATTGGTACACTTATTTTTATAATGTATCAGTACTGTAATGAATAAAAAAAAACATGGCAAATACAGAGGGAAGGGATCACCTTCTGAATGATTCAACTTGTCCTTTCATTTTGAAGTCAAATTATAAACTACATATTTTTTTCTATTATTTAGTACTGTATGTTTTATTATTTATGATGAAACACCATAATAGGCCAATCATACGATAATAATTAACTCTTCGGTTCCTGTTATGTGCTGTTATTATTATTACTTGTATCTTTCAGGACCAAGACACAGACTCCGCTGTACTTCCATGGCTCTGATGGTTCAATTGTTAACTCTGGAAAAAATCTTTGTGACTGTTTACAGAGTGAGTGTCCAGGATGCCACTATCCTTGCCCCAAGTGTGGTTCAGGCAAATGTGGCAATGAATGCAGGTAGGACAATATGGTTCAATGTTTATCATTATGAAATGAACCACTTGCTATCTTCACTAAACCATATTTTTATCCAGAGCCATTTCCCTTCTTTATTGAGCCATTTTTCATCTTTACTGGGTTCATTTTCCTTTTTCATTTTGCCTGCTTTGAATCATTTACCATTTAAACTGGTGTATTTTAATTCTATACCAAACCACTTTTATCTGCTTTGAACCATTTACTGTTTTCACTGAGCCTGTGTCCATCTTTACTGGCCCATTTCCATCTAAACTAAAGCTGTTACACCTTCACTGAGCCATTTTCTATCATCATGCCATTTTCATTATTACTGATCCATTGTCAGGGGCCATTATTTAGTTTTACCATGTCATATTTTAACTTTCTTGAATAATTTTCAGTTTTATCTTCACTCGCCCATTTTGTCTTCATTAACCTTTTTCTGTCTTTTGTTCAACCAGCTTATATTTTCATCATGACATTTTCATTTTCAGGTAATCCTATGTAGCTTTGTTTACATAAAATCTGTACAGTAAACCTCCAACATTCGTGGGTTTAACTTGCATGGATTTGATTATTCATGATAGTGCGTTTTTCTCAGCTGAGAAAAGATGCCCCGACCCTCCTCAAGAGTTACAGCTGATTGGCTGTTGCAAACCTGTCCGATTTTGTCCTGAAGTAATGATGTATTTCTAAATGAGTTTATTCATAATCGTTGGGATGACCGTTCCTGACGAGAAAGATATTTAGCTAAATTATATAAGATACATACAACCATTATTTCAAACATGAATACGTAGGAAGTTTATCAGAAATCTTATACATAAATTAACTGTTAGACTCTGGCAACAAATTCACGCTTTCGGAGGATGCAGGGCCGTCCCTAGGAGGGTGCAGGGCCCGGGGCAACTCAGCCACTGCGGGGCCCCAGAAAATATATATATGGAGTCAGATTATGCGGTCAGAGGAACCCACCCCCACCAACCCTCATGGGACTGTCGCCATGGATGGTAAGGTCACGGTTGTGATGGTAGCGTAAGCCGTCAGGTCAGATTAACCAGTCAACAGGTAATGTGTCTGAGGTCACTGGGCCTAGTGCTGGGCCCCGCGGGGCTCCCACACGAGCGGGGCCCCAAGCGGTCGCCCCTGTTCGCCCCCCCTAAAGGACGAGCCTGGGAGGATGCATTTAATATACTGTATACTTATTTTCACCCACAATTACGCATACGTACTAAGACAAATTACGTATCAGTAAAACTACATTATGCGTAAACTAACATTTAAAAAAATCAGAATCACACTGAAGTATTACACTGCCCCTGAAAATTGGTGGATGAGTGCAACAGACTTGGCAGCTCAAGCGAACAGCCGTCAGTAGAGTCGGGAAATATAACTGTGAACAACTTCAGATTTCAGTGATTCTGATCTTCTAAAATGTTAGTTTTTGTTTAATGTAGTTTTACTGATACGTAATTTATCTTAGTATGCCTAATTGTTGGTAAAAGTAAGTATACTACTGTATATTAAATGAGTCCTCCGAAAGCGTGAATTACTATGTTTTTATATATATTTTATTTACTGTATTTAACATGTACAGTATTACTCATAAAAGGTACCTCTTTGAGGGTGTGGATCCCCAAACCCCATTTTTCCCATAATGTCCTAAGTTTAACATTGATGGTGAATGTTGAGGGTTTACTGTATTCACTCTTAGATCGAACAAAATTACTTGAAGCTTGTTACATTTTTGGTGTAACTGCTTTTATCTTCCATGTAAAATGTGACAAAATTATCGGTAAGTGTCCTTCAGATTTGATTATCACCTCACTCAGCTTTGATTAGTGTAGAAGCAAAGTAAGCCAGGGAAGAAAGTCTAATATAACCCTCTGGTTTGCTTTCATAACATTAGTATGGATTCATTTGTGATGGGATGGCTAAACTTCAATAAGCTGTACAAGAAACAGCATAGGGAGCAAGCAGACAGAGAAAGGAGAGACTCTAACATTGATTAACTGTTCCTTAAGGCTCAACTGGTCAACAAATGGAATAATTCTCAAAGTTAGTGTTCACCATCGGTTTAATGTGGACAAAACAGTTTTTTGGGGGAAGAAAGTGCCAGAAATTTTTTGTTAATGTCAATGCCTGGGTTCAAAAAAAAAAAAAAAAAACAGCTAACTATCTTGCTGGTAGGGAATGCTCTAAAATAATCACATCCAGTGAGCACAGCAACACCGCAATCCAGGACAAATTAATTACGAACGATAATGTTGGATGCATATCTTGTTGATAAAATCTTGGTAAAATTGGTTTTGTGAGGTTAACCAGAACCTACCCCCCTCCCCCCATAAATACATTGTTCTTATGGAGAATTTGCTCTCAGATTCTGTCCTACCAACACACAAACTGGTCCCTAACTGGAGCGTTCCTGTATTAACTAGTTGTCAACAGTTTTTATTAAATTTTTCTCAGATTCTTTTTGAAATTTATGGTATACTGTACTGTAATTCATAAGGAATAAAATCATTCTATTGACATTGTTTTCTTTAAGGAAATGATATGGCGAATAACAAGCATTTTAATTATCAGTTTCAAGGTGTCATATACCAGTGACAGAATGATGAGCCCCACCTAATTCATTGTTTCTTTCCAGGATACAGAGGAAATGGTATTATGAAAAAATTGAAGTGGAAGGAACAAAATTGACATGGCAAAATGAGTTTGTGAAGAAAAAGTAATAATAAGCTGTGTAAAATTGACACATGGAATAAGAAAAATCAGTGTGAAGAGCTCTGTAATTATAGCTTTCTTTTATAAATTATCAGTGCTGGGAGTAGCATTATTACTTCAGTAGCAAAACGGGAAATGCAGCTTCTTTCAGGAACAGAACCTGTAGTCACGCTGTCTTTACATTGGTTTTGTTGCTATATTTTTAAAACATAATTGAATTATATATTAGTTTCAAAGCAGTGCAAGTATAATTTACGGAATAGCCATCAGTAAGCAGCATAAATTCACCAACTTAATAAAAAGTATTTACACTTATAATATCTTTGAAAAAAAATTATTGTCTTCACTCTGGGGGTTAAGCTTGTATTGTAAACAGAGTCCTCAGATTGAAGACATTACTGTACTGTAGCATATTTTTGCCCAAAAACTTGTTTACACACCTGGAATGGAGAGAGTTTTCTTGAATTTTTCCAGCCCGATTTCTATTCCGGGTACTAGAGAGTTCCGGGGACCTGGGATTCCAGCTAATGGAAAGCTGACATATAGCTTACTGCATATAATGGCAAATCTATGTTCAGTGAAGCTACATTAAGTGGGTTTTTACTTGTAAGTGGTAGGGCAGAGCAACAAGCATAACATCTATTATAAACATTTATTCTAGACCCATTGTGAATATAACAAAATATTCAAGAGTACATTATTCAGTACTGTACTGTACCTGTATATGAAAACATAAAAATAAACATTCTTATTTCATTAACAGTTTTATACTTTACTCAAGAGGCCTTTTAAATATTGTATAAGATCAGTGTACCAACAGACTTTTGGGATCTGGATTATCAAAAGTTTGTATGCTACATTCTTCCCTAACTTGATACAAACATTAACCAGTTTAGCACAAATATGGCACATAAAATTGTGTAAAAACAACACTAAATCCACCACTACTAAAGGTTTACCTACTCCTAGTTGGATGGATAACTTTTTAATAAATAATCAGAGTACAGACCATTATTTACACCTCTCTCAATACCCCCCAAAAAAATTTAAGTTATAATATCTCACATGAGCTTCCCACTCACCATGCCTCAGCTTTGATACCCTTTTTGGCAATTTTTTTCAGTTTTAGCTGACAGTCTAATTGTCTCAGTAGCTACTGTACCTGTGGAATATTTAGTCAACACCGTAAACATGAATATTCAGTTAGCATCGTCTCACTCACACCGGAAAATGTTCATCTCTGATAAATTACAGTATTTTATACTGCATACAGCAATATATTGTAAACTGCTGAAACATTTTCCTCTTCACATTAGTATATTTTCAAATCTATATACTGTATATTAAAAATAACATAGTGTACTGTATTGTACTGTACTTCAAATTTTTTCCAAATACTGTACATGTACTTTTAAGGACACCAATTTTTCTGAAATTATTCAGCAACTCCATGCATTCTGAGTAAAGTTAAAGACATTAAAAAAAATGTCATCATGTTTATATTAGAATAATAAAACAATTACAATTATCTTTAAAAGGTTCAGATTATAATATAAATGTAACAATACAAGTACTGTATACACTTACAATGTGTTCAAACATATGATAGTGAATTTACCCATCTTTTTTCCTTCACATAATCCCATTGAGGTGTAATAATTCTAAGATTCAAACTAATATGCAATAATTACATAACTTCATCTATTTAAACATATAATTATATCACCCATTTAAACCACTGTTCTTCAAAGCTGCTCTGAGGTATCAACTTAACTTCACTATCACTCTCATCAGGCTTGAATTTTGAACTCCCTCTATCCACAAATTCCACCTTGTCCTCCTGCACTGGCAAACACTGATTTGATTTTGTCTCATCATATTGACATAGGTGCATTTTTATCTGGCTTAATGATTCCTCATCAAGAAGAAACTCCATATCAGACAGTAACTTACTCTGATACATTTGACTATGGTCTAATTCAAAGTCCACTGCAGTACTTTCTGTTTTTCTCAAAATTACATAACCTCGTTGCAGACATGCAACAACAAACTGTAAACCTTTTTCTTTCCCAGGAAATTTGACACTCTCATATCCAGGATCTTCACCAGTTTTTGTTAGTGAACTATGGTTAATATTAACATTTGTTTTTATGTCATTATCTGTTTTATTTCTTGATGTGAAACCCTGAGAAGAATGTGGACTTGCTTCAACTTTAAAATGTACCCCCAAAAGTTTAGCAACATTAGGTAGCAAGATCCCATACGTACAAGCATAAATATATCCAAGTTTTATCCACAGATGACTACTTTGTGGTTGAAGGGTGACTAGTGTCTGAGCTGCAGTTAGTGCCTCACTGTACCTTCCTGCAGCCAAATTTACATCTACCAGGACTGAACAGCTCACTGTTGTCTGATCACAGTTTTTGGAAGTTGAATGTAACTCCTTTGCAAAATTAAGAGCTTCAGAGAGTGTACCTTTCTTAACATGAGACCTGGATAGACCTTCCAAACATTCCCTTCTACTACTAGTATGGTTTGGAGGTAATATATTCAAAATTTCTTCATACTTTGCAACTGCAGCATTGTATTCTTTTTTAAAAAATAGGTAATCTGCAACAAATTTCTGGGCACCTAATTCCTCTTCAGGAGAGACAAGTTCATCAGGGTGAACCTGCATAAACCAGCAGGGGTCACACACCCGAGCACTATACTCCTCAGCTATAGTGCCACGCTGACGCTCCTCCGCAAACAGGTCATCATCTAAGTTGGCAAACTCCATCCTAGAATCACAGATAAACAAAGTTAATTAAATAATTAAGGATTAGAGTAAAGTGTCTGTCAACCAAAATATTTGAGACCATGAGGTTCAGTAAAATAAACAAATAAACTGGATGCTGTATTATCACAAACATGTGTCCAAAGAAAGCACATAATAATCGTAGTACCCTGTACTGTACAGTACTTGTGTTAGTTTGGTTATATTAGTTCCACAAATACTGTACTGCGCCAGTAAACTAACATACGGTTCTTAATTTTTCTCTAAAAGTCAATGTTACCAGAGGTGTGCCGAATTTTTAGATTTTCCTAATTTCTGGACACAGGCCTAAACATACAGCATACCAGTGCAGTAGGGTCGGAATATATAGCGACTTTATATAACGATTTTTTAATATCGCGGCTTCCAAAATTATAGACATTTCCCTATATATAGCGTTAAAAAATTTTATTTCACGAGGGAACGGGCAGGAAATATTTCAAATTTATCACAACTACCAAAATTATCGACATTTTCCAATATACAATATAGCGATAAATTTATTTACAGTAGACTCACAATTTATGTGGGGTTATGTTCCTGGGACCTCACATAAAGCCAAAAATGTATTAAGTTAGAAACACTCCCAAAAATCCCCTAAATGCCCCCCCCCCCCCAAAAAAATACGAGTTACAAACTGTACAGTACTGTGCTTAAATGTACTCTAAAAGACTAAATTATTATCTCTTGTGCAAAATATACAGGAGTATGATGTTTATATTCAAATTATTTGCTGTCTTGCAAGGATTCCAGCAATGCAATTTATATTCTAACTTTAGTCTGTGATATTTTATAAGATCAAAATTTTAAGCTAAAACCTCAGACACCCTTACCAGAAGTCGGAGAGGAGTTGATTTATTATGACAGCTGGGCCAGAGTGCAGATAACGGTTACCTAGTGGTATTTATTTATCTGTCACTTGGGGGAGTTTGTTTTCTCTTATAAAATGTCACTGAATTGGCTTGAGAATATAATTAACATTGCTAGAATTCTTGTAAGATAGTAATTAATTTGAATATAAACATGCTATAGTTTGCACTAGACATAAAAATTTTAGTACATTTGAGTACAAAGGACTAAAATTTTTATCTCTTGTGCAAAATGTATGATATCTATATTCAAATTATTTGTTGTCTTGCAAAGGATTCTAGCAATGCAATTTATATTCTGCTAACTTTAGTCTGTGCCATTTTATGTCAAGTTTAGTCACTTTTATTGGCCTCCAGAACCTAACCCTATTTTCTCCATTGATTACCGGTACCTGTACTATAATTATATATCGCGATTTAGTATATAGCGAACATCCTTGGACGCTATCTCGCAATATATCCCGACCTTACTGTACTTAAATAAAAAAAACAAAGTATGATAAATAAAAAACAAAATTGTTTTACACTTACCAATTTATTGTCCATTATTCCACTTCCAAAGCAAGCTTGAATGTTGGTAATTCATGCATTAATTCTCATCTGAAAACAATTAACATTTGGGGTGCAGGTAGAAGGCTGAACTTCATGGACAATTTTCTTTTTAATCTTTGCAAACATATCCTGCAGTTTCAGTTGTTTTGACTTTCTGTGAATGAAAACTCCCTGAATTTTGTATATCCACATTATATGCAGCTCAGTGCTCACTAGTGAGCCTTTTTTGCTCCATTCTACGAACCAGTTCCTCAGTCGAGCTAATACACTGATCAGTAGACACTCTCGGTGCACTGTCATCATCATCACTTTCATGTGACTTTTTCTTATCCTCATTCATTACCATTTCCATAATTTCTGTATCATTGAGTTGAAGCACAACTGGGGCATTTTCTTTAATGTTTAGACATTTCTGAACAATATTATCATCTACTGACTTAGCTTCTTCACTTGTTAAGCTCTGTACATATTCCACTAAATCCTTTACTAGTGCTGCCTCTCTTGACACACGAAAACCACAGAAATCGGGGTCAACATCATCTTCAGCAAAAAATGGGGTATAATGGTCACAGGTTATGCCAGCCATTTATCAAAATATCCTTTTCACCATAAACCTTCAGTTTACAAATGCCATGCCATTGTTTAATTCTATTAAACCACCCAGATGAATATTCACATCGAGCCATCAGCTGTTAATTCTTTGTGGAATTCTTTAGCTTTGGCCATAACAATTGAATGCTCAAGTGGAAACTTTTCACACCACCTTTGCCTAATCCACTATAAGAACACCCTGTCCATGTCAATATTCTTTGCTTTGTGTAAAGTTTTTCGCTTGTCCATTATCTTGGGAATATAACTGTTGGCATAGAACTTAAGAATCTGTTCTCTCTGTTTCTTTATATCATATACTGCAGATATATGAACACCAATTCTATCTACAGCTATTTATTAGTTAATTGAATGACATGGATACACTTCTCACTAAAAGTAACTCGCCCTATTGCATACTCTGACAATGATTCACATGTGACCCATGGGAGGCCCAGCAGCTGGGGACTCTTGACTGCAGGGTCTGGTACTGCTGGGGCAAGTGGTCCTGGTGGGCACCGGACTCTGTCTCCTGTGGGAGACTCAGCCAGCTGGGGATTCAGCGCTAGGGAGGGAGGTCCTTCTCCCTACCTCGGGACTTGTGACTGAGTGTGATTCGTCTGGCTCCCCTTTTTATTGGAGGTCAGGTCACTGTTGTCGTGTGCTTATTGTTGTAGGCTGGCCGGTGTTATCTCCTAATTATTACTAATCTGGGTGTGTTTGGTCAGGTGAGTGGTGCTTGGGGTCACAGGGTGTGGTGTGCTTATTGTGGTTGGCCAGCCAGTAATGCCTCCTAAATATTACTGACCTGGGTGAGTCTGGCCAGGTGTGTTTAGTCAGGTGTTGGTGTACTGGCTGGGGGGCAGTGTTTCTTGGATTAACAGGGTCATGTCGCCTGTTCTCTCATTGCCCCTTCATAACCCTTGTTGGGTCAGGACTTAAATCTTATTTAATTACTGTAAGGTAGGTCAACTTAAGTGGGTTGTATACCTGCTCCACTAATTACTGTTATGTGTGTTTTGTTCTTCTGGGCTGAACGTTTTGGTCTGATAGACATTATTATACAGTATTGGGACATCGAATTTCAGGGTACACCTGTACTAAGAAATTTGAAAATAATGGCACGGATTTATTTTTATTTCTTTTTTTTTACCAAAGTTCTTTCCAATAATTATAATCAATGGACTTCAAACCACCACATTCACTCGAGTCAATTTTTGCTGCTTGATCTGATGTTTTAAACAAATGCTTACAGCAATTATCCCATACATCCGGACATTTCCAGCAACTGCTACCCTGGGATTTGGTTGTAGCTTAACTAGTAACTTAGGCAATTATCATTTCAAAGAACACTACTTTCTTGCTTCAAGAATACTATATACAGTAAACCCTTGCTATTTGCGGGTTTATGATTTGCGATTTCGACTACAGGTATTCGTAGTAAGCAGATGGTGGCTAGCTTACGAGCTTCTCCGGCAGCGTAACGAGTTACCCCCCACACACCCGCAGTGTCTCCTCTTCTTTTGTTTGCGCTCAACCATTGCCTGCGATGTATCATCTCGTGTTGTACTCAAAACTTTAGTGTTTCTGTGTGAAATGGCCCCTAAAGACTGCCTAGTGTCAGTGCTAGTGATGCTAGTGTAGTGAAACGTAAAAGGCAGACGTCAGTGATGACCCTGACAAAGAACGTTGAATTATTCTTGACCACGACCCTTCCATGAAAAAGAGCCATACAAATTTAAAATTACACCATATCATAGAAAGTCTTTCTGTTTAATATACCAAGGGTCAGGGAGGCTTGAAAGTTAGGTAAGGTTAGGTAGGTTTGTTTGGTTGGGTTGGTGAGGTCTGTTTTTCATATCCACTAAGGTTAGGTTAGGTTTAATTTAGACATAACCACTCTTTAACACATTTGCACAAACTACAATAGTGTCCACTAGAAAAAAAACAAAAAACAATGAAATTGCGGCATTTTAAAAATCGTTTTCCATGAAAAGTTGGCTGCAGGTCAAGTCGTTAATAATTACTGAAAAAATATGTTAGGGCAAACACCCGAAAATTTCCCTTTAGCTGTCAAGTATAAATTATTGTGCATCTACCATCCCTCAAAGAACAGTGATATGTTACACTGGTAAGTTACCAATAGAAGTTATCTTCAATATATTATGTTTGTCAAAAGAAAGTGGTTTACATATGCAAATGTACACACATTACGTACTATGTGCAGTGCAGTCACAATCCAAAATTCTTTACCCCCTGGCTGGAGGAAAGGTGAAGCCAAGGTTGAAGAAAGGCCAGGTGAATGGATAAAGACTATAGAGTACTGTACACTCATTTAGTAATCTGGTGATGAAGCACGATGATGGTGGGGATCACACACCAGCACTTCAACACAGTCACATAGACAAAACACACTGCACCATTTTGGAAGTAAGTCAGAATCGTTCAAAACACATTAAAAAAATAAAAATTTCAACCTAACCTTTACTAAAAATTTGAAACATAACCAAAAGGCTTATTATACCAAAAACATTAACATAATATGGCATATTGGCAGGGCTATAATAATTTTATGAATACTGTATTCTACTTATATAATGACAGCACATTGTGTATGTCTGTTAGGATACACCCCATTTCGTCACCAATATCAAATCCGTTTTATCACCACTAACAGTCGCTGGTATTAGTGACAAATTTAAGTTATTATTTTACACGAATATTAATTACATATGTATACAGACAACTCGAGAAGTATTGTCATTATTATACATGAATATTAATTATTTAATACAGAAAACGATTAAAACATTGGAAAATAAACAAAATACAGAACAATGAAGAATTATTGTGCTATTACTCTACATGAATATTAATTGTTTAATAAAGAAAACGATTCAACATTGATAAACAGAATACAGAACAAATGAAGGTTATTTGGCACCAGTGCATAAACCACCAGGCAGTCAGCAGTGAGATGATTGCAGGCGTATTAACAATGTATATATTTTTTTTATTTTCGTCTTTATTAAATTGTCTTAGTGTCTTTGATTATTTTTTGTCCCAAGCAACAGTTATTTTCGTGTATATATTGATGGGAATGAACGCGGTGACGAAACGGGTAAATCAGTGGTAAGACTGTACACATCGTATGGCATACGATTTAAATATCGTGTCAATATAAAAAAAATCGCTTAATTACTTAGAAATAAAAGTGTCTAGAATGGCCAAGGAGCCATGGCCTGTGGTAACTTATGGGACTCAACCATTAAGAACACTTACCGTACCTTTTTATGTCAAGAGGAACAATGGAGGGGACCTTGAATAATCCACTAGTTTTTCTGACTCATACGATCTCTCCCTATCAACACAATTCACAGATGTTCACTTCGTTGGTTCAGTTGAAAAGTTTGTCAATGTGTCAAGTTTATTTACGAGACGTTCTTCAGGGTAACATTCCTATACACGGCGCACATTATAATAATTCTTCAGTGATTTTTTCTAAACCATTCAGGGGTAACGTAACCAAAAAGCATGAACAAACCCTACAACCCATATAACAACATTGACACAAATCCAAAACAATTGTACATAACAATGGTATTTGCCTACTTACCTTTTCACTGGATAAGATTTGTTTTAACATCCCTGGAGTTGATTTAGCATATTGTAGAACTCCAGACAGGTTTGCTTGAAGCTAATTTTCGTGATTAGTATACATATACACGTTCCAGCTGCTTGTTTTTCTTGTTGATAATTTTCTTATTACACTAAACAAATTTGTTTCCGGTCGGAAAGCACAGGGATTCCCGTAGTCTTTATCTAAAGGAATAATGCCGTGAAGCCCGTGATCTATAAACAATTGAAGAATTTCAATGTCTTTATCTCTAAATTCGCAAATGACGTCAAGTAAGACCGGCGACAACCTTCACACTACATGCTGAAAAACACACTACCCCGGGCGCGGGAAAAGCGCCTCAGGGCCTCATTACCGCCCGCAGGACAAACTATTGCCTGCCAGGCACCTTATGATCTATGAAACGAAAAATTGGCACAACAAATTATTATCATATTAGAACTCACTGATGAAAGTAAAGTAAGGAAATAAACAATAAATATATATATATATATATATATATATATATATATATATATATATATATATATATATATATATATATATATATATATATATATATATATATATACACCACATCCACTCCCTATTCTTTCTGTCCTTTTCAACTCAAATCAATCATTTTTGTACTTCATACGCAGGTACAGTACAGTACAGGTATATCATTTCTCACTCTTGATTTATCTTTTTCGTTTTTGTATTTATTTATGGTTATGGTTATTATTATTATTATTATTTTATTTTTATTTGTATTAATTTGCTATGAAATTTATTAAGAGTTGTAATAATAATAATAATGATAGATATTATTATTATTATTATTATTATTATTATTATTATTATTATTATTATTATTATTATTATTTATCATTATTATATTTTCGCCCCCCAGGCCCTGATGTGGGTCAGTGACCTGTGCCCGGGGAATCTTGAACTTCTTGATCACCTACAATATCAGTGTACAGGTGTTCAACTGTAATGCAGTAAGTCCTCGCTTAACGTCCAGGTTACATTCCTAAAAACGCAACATTATACGAAACAATGTTAAGCCGATCAATTTTCCCCATAAGAAACAGATAAAATACGGGAGTTACGTTCCTGAGCCTCCCTTTGCCCCATGAAATACATTACATATACAGAAAATCATTGCCATTTCTATAGAAAATAATACAAACATACAACTACTAAGTTTGTATTGGTACTCACCAATGGGCGGAGGTGGTAGAGCGAGTGTGTGGTGGGTAGTGAAGCAAAGGAGGCGGATAGAGGGAGGGGAGGAGTATGGAGTATGGCGGGAGAGGAGGAGGAGGAGGAGGGTGGTGAGTCACTGAGACTCAGCGCCAAGCCGAGAGAGCATAGCATGGCGAGACGAGAGAGGGTGATGCACAGTTAAATGTAGTCTATGACGACACAAAACAACGTAGCATTGGATCACCGTTAAAAGAATTTTTGGTCTCTAAAGTTTAGCGACGTAGTACAGTACTGAAACAACGTTAAGCGGGACGACTTTAAGCACGGACTTACTGTAAAACTATACAGTACAGTACACAGTGTAAAAGGAAAATGAATACTACTTGTATTTTGTCTTGATAATTAGTATAATATAAAATCTTTGTACATTATAAAGTAGTATTTATTTGTACACCGTAATACTGTGAACAAATCCAAACACATTCACACATAAGTGGAGGTAACTGTGAAAACATGGTGTTAGCAACTGTACCATTTACCATGTCAGAATGCATGTGGATGATCTGGTGTTCAGTTGTGGTAATAACTGTGCAATACTTACCTTCAGGTACCTGTAGGTGTGTACTTGTTCAATGCCCTGTCCTTGCTGGCTCAGCGGAGTCTGACAAAGGGGGTGCGAGATGAAGTTAGTTTTGATGTTTGAGATGACAAGGGCATGTGTAGAGAGTATAGGTTGTTTATGTTGCAGTGTAGTACAGTAATATTGAGATCATCAGCATAGCTGATGGTGTGTCCATTGAGTCATTGTGCTCAACAAGTGTTGTTCAGCTGGTAGACAGAGTTCATGAAAATGTTAAAGAGATTGGGGCTGAGGACCAAGGGCTTTGATCGTGTTGCTCTGGAAATGGACACAGGCCTGTCGATAAAGAAGGTTGTCTGCCAACCATGTAAGGAGTTTGCCCTTCTCGTCCATGTGGGTGAGGCTCTCAATGACCGTGTCACCATTGGCTTTATCAAATGCACCCTGGAAGCTGGTAAAGAGGGAAGTTGTAGCCGAAGTGTTTGTCATGTAGTGAGCAGTACTCTTCCCAGGGAAAAATACATACAGGCCAGGATGTAGGTGAGCTTCAATTTTCTAGTGCAGGTAAATCATGCATTTCATCACTGTGGAGAAGCAGGAGATGAAAGAAATTGGGCGGTATTTGTCGTGTTTGCCTGGCTTGAGTACGGCGATAATAGCAGCAGTTTTCCTCGCATGGGGCAGCTGTTTTGTGGCATATGAGTGGTTAACCACTTACGTATGGGATCCCCTCTCTGTTGAATAAAATCATCTGACATTAGCCAAATAAAATATTAAAAGTGGCATGCCTGTAGTGAAGGAATTAAATAACAAAGAAGGGAATCACCAGGGGTGACAACAAGGATATTTAGAACATCATATGTTTTGTCATTGTTACCAAGGTGCAGTGGACATAGAGCTGTGCATACTGACAACTCTCACCTTTCTTACGTCGCTCTGGGTTGTGCAGGATGGACAGGAAATATGTCTCTGTGGGGGAGAGGTGAGGACCACAGGTGAACTTACAAGGCCTGGCAGCATCAGAGTAGAGCTGAGGATACATTAGGGGTTGATGAATGGCAGCTGGCTGTCAAGGCTGGGCTAGAGGCTGTTGTAAGGATAGTAGATGTGGCATGGGGAAGAGAGAGGAAGGTAGATGGACCAGCTTAGTAGGATGGCCGGGTAGAAGGCAGTGGGAATGTAATATTTGATAAATTTTCAGAAGTGTAATGGGCGAGACGAGAATCATGAGAGCTCTTTGGGGTTGAAAGTAAACATCAAGTGGGTTCAAGGTGATCTCTTCATAATAAGTAATTTTTTTAGAAAATGGTAATAAGAACATTTAAATTATTTTTTCCATCTTAAATAACATACAGTACGGTAATACTTCAGATACTTTTTCTATTTATATATAACTAGATGAGAAATCCTTCAGGTGGGGGTAGGCACCCAAAGACTTTACTTGAATGTTCCAATAACCATTGTCTGATTACTAAACAGCAACCCAAATGTTTGGTTTAAGAAATGGATTACGGCGCAGAGGTCACTTTTGGGATGTACTAATAATTCTCGATTGTTAAAAAAAATGGCCGACTGTCACTTTGGTCTGGATCTTGGATGACCAGGCAATGAGGGTGGTGTCACTTTGACTGCATTTGTGTAAATCCCCCACACCAACAACAGCATGTGAGGCCATCAACACTGCGAGCTGAGGACAGGAAGTCCCTTGGTTCTTCTTTCTTCTCTGTCCAAGCATCACAAACTTGAAGCAACTTGAGTTCAGTGGCTCTTCCACTTATGAACACAGTGTTTGTCACTCAATACTTGATTGTTCTCCATATGATCCACAACATAGTCCCATTATTGATTACTTTTATCTTTGCAGTTTTCTGTTCTTATGGTAATTTGCCTGTTCTGCATGACGTGTTTAAGGTCATTGTTACCAATCTGTTTATAATATTGTACTGTGAACTTCTTTCATTACTTTGAGATGAATTATATCTTTCCCTGAAGATATGACAACCTTGATCATCTTAATTATCTCTTTGACTTCTTTTTAATTGATGAACTGATCCAAAACTCAGCCAATGATGTCTTCATACTTATGAATCTGGCTCCACCATGAACTCTCTCAAGAACAATATATACTGTAAAAAAATTTATACCCAGTAGGTGTTGGCCATTTAGGCTTCCTTCTCATCTTCCTCAATTAGTCAATCCAGTATTGTATGTTGGTGTTCAGTTTATTCTTCATATCTTTCAGTACTTTTTTTTTTACTTAGATTCGTGAAATGGAATGACTGTGCGATGAATCATATAGTTTCTTTGTAATCACTTGAGAGTATACTGGATTGTACTAAGTATAATTCAACAAGTGAATGTTACTTTAAATATTCCCTGATACAAATACCATATCACTAGAAATTCATATTTTTCTAAGAAAATTAAAAACACTACTGTACTATATAAATATTCATACTTAAAATTATTTCGGCAATTGGCTGGCATCAATTTTTTCTTTTAGTTCCCATCCTGCATGTTGTATGCCATCGTCTCCAAGATATATGTTTCTCCTCCTTGTCTTGTGGTCTTGGTACCTGGCATATACATATGTCACACCACCAGCTATGTTCAAAGTAATTCCTGAAAACAGAAATAATCATCACCATGTGATTCTAGATTCTTCCAATGTTTAATGTACAACAATAGTTTTAGGCTGTTTAATGCAACAAGATATAATCAGGTAGGCTTCTGTACAGGTACAGTATATTCATTATAATAGGTAATATTATTACATAATTTTTTTAGCTGATCTGGAAGATCCACTTACAAGTTTATGTCTCAAATAACTCACAACCAATATTTAAACACACCTGCAACATTCACTGGATCGAACACAATTCCACCAAAAGTGAGGAATCCAATGATGGTTAAAACACTCTTGGACACCCCCACAATGGAGGTGGTGAGGGCAGAGTTGAGCATTGTGCATAAGAATAAGGAGAAGTTCAGCAGCAGCCCCAGCACCAGCACCAACAAGAATATCACATGGAAATTTGTTTCTGAAAAAATAAGATTGTCCTGTCAAATTAAATGTTCTGAATCCTGATTCATCCATTATCAACACAATGACTGACATTTGTAAGAGAATTACCATACAATATACTACAGAAAACAATTCATACCAACAATACTTTCATACCTCATTGTCTCAAACCTCACACCTCCCATACTTTTCCCCAATCTCCTGTCTTGCACATTTATACAGTACTGTACTGAATCAGTATTCTTTTTTTCGCCTTATTTCTAACTTCCTCACAACCCTAACTTGTTCATGGGTTACTTAAGTGACCTTCAAATGACACACTGTATATGTTCTTCCCTCAAGTTCATCACTTGGAAAAAACTACATTATCTCCATCAAAAACTGCTTGCTATTACTTTATCAAATTTCTTAGTCCTACAACCCATTCTGAAAATACACCCTTCAGCAGCTTCTAATTTTTTATTATTTTTTTCATATTACATACATCTGCCACACTAAAACCACCCATACACCACATGAATGAAAGTAGGAGTCCGTCAGGGGTCTATCTTGGGCCCCCTTCTGTTTATCATGGTGTTGGAGGCAATAACAAGGGAGTTGTTGTATGCTGATGACTTTGTTCTGATAATAGATAGTATTGAAGACAGTGGAGTAATTTACGAAATGGAAGAATGGAATTACGTCAAAGGCCTGAGAATGAATGTGGTGGAAGCAAAAGTATTGTGGGAGAGGGACCTGTGGTGGATTGTGGAAAGTGGCCATATGCTGTTTGTAAGAAAGGTGTTGACACCAACTCACTAATGTGCAACAAGTGTGGAAGGTGGGTACAAAAGAGATGCGGTGGAGTACATAACAGACTGCAGGATGTTGTTGATTTGAAATGTTCATTATGTGCAGGGAACCATGGGCTCACAGCATGGCTGGAGAAACTCAACATTGGGGGATAAGTTCCTAGACTGTGTCGAGGAGTTCTGTTACCTGGCAAGGGCGAATCCGGGGGAGGGGGAGGGGTTTCCTGTGGGTCTGGATCTTTCCTCCTTTTCACCAAAAAATTCCAGTACTTTTTCCTTAATGTAGTAGTGTACTCAAGCATTTTTGTATTGCAAAAAGTATTTACTATTGACTTCAGAATATCCCCTAATATCAAGTGGGCATGGCTTCAAAATGGTGCTCGCCATTTTCCCCCACCTGCAACTTCTTGGACCCCCCTTGATATTCCTGGGTCCGCCCCTGCCTGAGTGAAATGATCAGTGCTGATGGGGGTGAAGCCCGGTTCACCTGCAAGAGTCACAAAAGGCTGAGAAGTTGAGGGAGGTGCTGCCTTTATTGATGGCACGAGAACTTTCTCCTCTGTGTAAAAGTAAGAATGTATGTCGCTGATGTGAGAAGTGTAATGTTGTTTGGCAGTGAAACATAGACAATTAAGGAGGATGACATGAATAGACTTTAGCAAGCTGAAATGAGAATGGTGAGGTGGTTATGTAATGTGACACTGAAAGACAGGAGACCCTGTTCAGAGCTAAGAGAGTAGCTGGGTAATGAGAATATTAGCAAGGTTCTGAAAAGAAGCAGGTTGAGATAGTTTGGGCATGTGGTGAGAATAGATGAGACCAATTGGGTCAAGATATGCATGAGTGTAAAGCTTCTGCATTATCCTTTCCTTTCATTGGCACAACACTCATTATTTTCTTACAGAATTAAATGTAAAGATTTACAGAAATAAGCTAAACATGAGCAGTTGTATTTGCCAAAAAAAATCTGATATACTGTACATAACTTACCACCAATATACTGGTATGTAAAGACAGCACTCAACTCCCCTTTACCACAAGTAATAATTATAAATGGGATAACTGATATACAACTATTGAGGTGGAGGATGTGCAGCGGAGATAGCTGGTTTTCACCACACTGTTCTACGAGGGTCTGGTACAGCCCCTGCAGCACTACACTCAGTCCTCCCATCATATACGCATATCCATGAAATGTGGGGTCACTCATCCCTGCAGATACATTAGTGTAAGCCTTCAAGAAGCAACTTGCATGAAGGAATAGGACTTGGATGTGAAACTATCAATTTCCAAGTTATGTAAAAATTAATAATAAATGAGCATAAGAGGAATGAATTATTATCTTTAAAATATTAGAGAAATCAAGAGTATTGATAAGGTAAACAATGAACAGGAGAAACATACTCAGTGTGAAACAGTCATAATGGACAAAAGTAAATCTTGGCTACCTATATGCTGTCTACTCTAGATGATTAATTTTAACTAAGCATTGTTTGACTGACTGCTTCCCTTCCATAAAAGAATTCCAGATAATGACTTATAAACTTTACTGTGAAATATTAGATCTAATAAAAAAATTCCTGTAGGTAGTAGTGACAGTACAGTACCATACCATAAAGTTGGTGCTCTGATCTTGATGAGAAATTTTTCTGAAAACACTGAATAGGCAGAGTCCTGACAAGACTTACCAGCTATCAAACACCCAATGGTTATAGTCAAGACTGAAGTTATCACAAGGGCAGACGGCGTTGGCTTCTTCAGATACGTTACAGCTAGTATCAAATTAACAAGCGGAGTGCAACGTTTGAGAGCTCCATACATTGGAATATTCATACCTGTAGAAAAAAGACACAGATAGAAGCAGACAGACACTGAGTGAATAAAATCAAGGTATACACTTTACAATGTAGTCATAGACACATTCATGCCACATAGAGCTCAGTACAATGTCACCATCTTTACTCCCTCTTTTTTAACCTTAAATCCTTTAATATAATATAATTTTAACATTCTTAAACATATAAAACAAAACCTGAGAAATATACTAAAAACTTAAAACCACAGTAACAATGTCCTTTTAAAAGTTTTGTTCATGTTCGTTAAGGTTTTGTGTTGTAGAGGCGAGGTTTTATGGTCATCAACACGGGTAATTTCCCTCATCACAATTAATATCTTATAATTTATTAGTTGCATTTTTTATAAATGTTCAATCCTCTTCATGTCGTCATTGTTAAGATGCATTATATCTCCATTTAACATACTGTACAGGTAAATCTCAAGATATGATTGGGTTAGGTTACTAAAAGACTCATCTCTAGGTGAATTATCATAGATAGGGAGCATTATAACATGGGGTTCAATGGGATACGTTCCCAGCCAATCCCCAAACATACATGTATCACCACGCAGATTGGCCGTGTGGTGGCACGTGGGTAGGCTCACAAGTGAAGATAGAAATGAGTCATGTGACTCATGCATAGGGTTAAATATTGTTTCCTTATAAAACGTCACTGACTTGACATAGAAAATACAATAATTTGAATTGCTGGAATCCTTGCAAGGCAGATTAATTTGAGAATATACAACCCATAGTTTGCAATAGAGAGAACAAAAAAACAATGGATATCGATGGTTATTTAATGGATATCGCTAATGAGAGATGTTTTGATCGTATATAGTGAGATGGTCTGAATTTATGACCATCGTTAAAGCGGAAAATCACATCTCTATTTGCTAAGAGTTATCAGCAATTCAACACACATGGACAATATTGCTCTCTTCTGACTACAAATTACAGGTACGAGCATACCCCAATAACCAACGCATATAGGGATCATGAAAAGTCATTGGATAGTCAATCAATGGTTATTAAAGCAAGTAATCCCATAAGAACACAACAAATTCAAGAGGTTAGGGACCAGCCACCCCCCCCCAAACTCCCATCTACCCTTGATATACAGTATATCTGTTGTGTAAACTGTCAAGCAAGAAAATAAAGCAGATATATAAAGCAAACATAAAAAGCATTAGATGGAGAGTATAAGCATAAGTTGAGACTGTTATTTACCTATGTTGAGGATGGTAGAGACAGTCAAGTTCTAGTCTCTACCACTCTTTGCTGGTCCATCACCACTCTTATTAAGCCTTATAACATCACATCGGGCAGCACAAGAGGAATTATCACTGGGGCATTTAGGCATGATTGCATAACACACGAAGTCGGAGATACAGTACATAGTAAGTGCAAATTAGTGCAGAGAGGCGCGCAGAGCCCTCTTATGGCGAGAATTCGCACCACGCCACCGCCCACCAAATTAAAAAATCTCTGCTGCTCCTCTCCCGATCATCGGATCTCCAAGGTATCAATGAAACTTGCGGGATATTTCCCCTATATGTAATTGTCGGTTATGCGAATCAACGGTTATTGGGACGTTAGCTTTCAGGGTATACCTGAACAACTTGTGTTAATTTTCCTTAACAGTGATTGTCTCCTCTATTCTAAGACTTCAGACACATATAAGTACAGTACTGTATACTGTACACAAAATGTTTATCCAACACTTTGGGCTTAATATACAGGTATATCTATTTACACTTACTTCAGACTTAAAGCCGGATTGTTAGTAACTCCTTCAACAAAGAGGCAGCTCTGCGACGAAGGACATATTTAAAAAAAGTGACCAGCTCCGTCAGGGTTCAAAGAGCACCTAGAGACGCCTTGTAATACCAGAATTTCCCATAAACTCCAGCATTACATGTACAGTACAGTCCAAGGATTCTCTACCTCCCCTTTGGACCTCGACGGAGTTGGTCGCCTTTTTTTTTAAATTTGTCCTTCATTGCAGAAATGGCCCTTCACTGAAGGGGTTATTTAACAATCCGGCTACTTAACCCTTCCCCTACAGGGAAGCCACTTTTAATATTTTATTTGGTTAACACAGACAATTTTATTTAGCTCAGAGGAGAGCCCATAAACATGGGGTTATATATCAAGGTCAATCTTTCTGTATTTTAAATTTTTTCTCTTATACCCTGTATCACCCTATATGACATTGGACCTTATGGTACTAACAACACACTTTCAGTAACATCCACCTGCTTTCTCAATCAGTTAACTAAAGAGTTTATTTTTGCCTTTAATGTATATCACTAACATCCTCTCTAAACCCATATCTTATATCTCTAATGCAATGTTAGATGTAAATGCAGTACAATACAACAAATCCTTCAATTGCCATCAAAGTACAGTCGCCTGCAGTAATACCTGGTGCAGTGACCGGCACACTTTGTGGCAACTATCTGGAATGCTTATCTAGCATCCTTAGTCTGGCTACTATTGTGAGGTTCCTTTGGGCCATTCCTGTTGTTTTAATACAATGCAAACAAACACAGAGTTGACACATCTCACAAAATGTATCAGCCACTGTACCAGGTAATAAGTGCAGACAACTGTAGCTGGTCATCTCGCATGACCTTGTCTTGGTCAAGGAATTACACTAATAAGAGTAGCAGCACATTGTGAACACTTGATTAATGTTCTGTGAATAGAGCAGAGGAAAAAATATAGGATATGTTTTGTCCTTGCATATAAAATGTTGGCCTCTGACATACACAAACGACTTGACAATACCTTAATAAATTTTACTACACGTAATTAAATATACTGTACCTGGAAACATCTTACCTTCTAAGGCCATTAAAGACAGTGTGGCATGTAAGGAATAGCAAAACGAAGGAAAGGCAAACATCTTTATGGCAGCCATCGTAATTTTCGGTATGCCAAATTTCCCAAATGCACGCATAACTTCCAAGACAGTTACTGTTAATATCATCTGTCAAGTATAAGAAGAAAAATTATACCAAGATATGAAAATATATGAAACACAACTCCAGTACCCTCACCAAATGTACCAAAGGTACTATTACTATACTGAACCGTAAGCCACGCTGCTTGGTTCATGGAAAATGTTCATGTAGCTGTCCATTTATTCAAACTAAATGTGTTCACAATTGGTAAGCAAACCTGTTATTCTCTAAAATAGTGTTAAATATCTGGACTAACAAAATGTAAATGATTTCAAGGCATTATCATTAAAGGTCGAAGTCAAAGATAAAAATTTGCTTTCGATACAGAATAAGCCTTTTCATTATTTTGTATGAAACATAAAGCAAACAGAAACAAATAACACCAAACATGTCACAATAGGCAATGAACTACAGTTTGTATGGCTGGATAAATCCCAAATCATTTAAATATAACTGATAAAACTCAATATAAATATGCGCAGTCTGCTTACTGGGGATAAATACTGAATATTGTTCATGAAACTACATGTACTACATTATCATGCACTGGATTTCTCTCTACATCAAGTTGTAAGTCATTTCCCTCACTAATACTGTACACTGTAGTAGAAATTTTGCTTAACTACTGAACATCTCAACATATGCCATTGTTAATTAAAAAAGTATATATATATATATATATATATATATATATATATATATATATATATATATATATATATATATATATATATATATATATATATATATATATATATATATATATATATGCGTGTGTGTGTGAGAGGAGTTGCAATAAAACACAGTGACTGTGATGATTCATAGTACTGTGCTGTACAGTACTGTAGTGATGACTGTCAACAGTGGTACACAACCAGATTCTCACACAGTGACCATGTTTATACAAATGGGAGAGAGCAAGTTTAAACCATGGTATGTCAGGCTAAAGAGAATTTAAAATATAAAAGCAAAACCTTTTCAACATAGGGTACAGAGTAATTTGATTACCTATATGTGTTTTGTATGAAATGATACCAGCAAAGTGTTAAGAAACATAAAACTGTAAGTGCCTGGACATGCAATACTGTACAGTACAACAATTAGCTGTGGCAATAATTGGTTTCCTTCCACTTACCTGACATGATAATATGAAAAATGGATAATTGAATCCATACTGGCTCATCACAGCCTTGTTTAAGAATGCCATGGAGAGGGAGATAGTGCCATACAGGAGAGCAGCTCCCAAAGCTGGTCCCCGGCCCTGCATCATCACACTGCACAATAAAAGTTTACAACTAAAAAACAATTTAAACTTTACACTGACTCTCAAGATTTTATCTCTGGGATACGGCTTGTAATGTATAAAGTGCCAAATATTTCTATTTGGTAAAACATATTAAATGTAACTCACAAAATAGAATACTGTACAGTACTATCTTTATAGTTTCATCCAATTTATGAAGAAATACTAAAGGACCTTTTTATAAAAATTAATAGCTTTAAGAGTAATAATACAGTAATAATAATAATAATAAACGCTACTTAACATTTGTGGTTATCAAGAACAGATCTAACCAACCAAACCAACCTAACTTCCCCGGTATATTAAACAGAATGAACTTACTATGATATGGTGAAATGTGAGGCATTTCCAGACGTGAGATATGACGGGTTAGTTCTATATATTAACCCAAGACTCCTCCATTATGTTAAGTTCAATCAAGGCTTTTATTCTCTTTGGTTAGTCTATTTCGTATACGTTGCAACACTCAGCACACCTGTCCAACAGATGATGACAACTCGACAGTAAACACACTTGCCAGGGTTGCCAGGTCGTGGACTGCGTTCCCGCCAAATCCTATCTCCAAATCGCCAATTCCTTTCCAAAAACCCGCCCAAAACCACCCAAACCAGCAGTATCAGTAATATACTGTAATGTATTACTTTCAAGAGGACAGACAAAGAGAAACAAAAAAAGGGGAAACATTTTATTTAATCGCTAAAATAAGCATTGACATCATAAATACACATGCATGCACTGATATACTTGATATTATTACATTATATCGTATGAAATGCAAACAAAAAAGTATAAACATAATTAATGTATGCAAATTAGCGTACATGCCTAGTATCCATACCCTACATTATTATGTTGTATAGATCCTTAGTAGTTTTATGCATCAATTAAGTCAACATATTCAGGTCATATTTAACAAGATCTTTGGAATAAATATCCTGAGCAAAAAGTGACAACATTGCCTGTGTGGGAGCTAACTTATTGCAACATATGTTGTGTCTTTGCAAAATGCACGGACATGTAGGGTGTTTTCCAACTTTTCTGTTGATTTGTGTCTTATCTTATTCTTTGTGAGGTTCATATGAGAAAACACCCGTTCTACAGAGGCGTTACTGATGGGTAGCCAACAACGACAAAGCAAACTGCCCTATCTCCTCAAAATCCTTTTCTTCCGAGGCATCCTGATGGTTATGAACTGTCATCCAAAATTTCTCGACGTCAGGAATTATTTCTTTGGGTCAACTGACAGTCCCAAGCTTTGTCACTGTTTGTCTACCTTACCAATATTCTCTGAGTACTTCGGTAAGAATGACAGCTAATTCAACCTTGTTTTCCTTTCTCCAAACACAGTTTCTTATGTCAGAACGTCCAAGCTCTGGGAGAAGCGCTAGTACACACGCGGTCGCTCACGCACGCTATTTTATCTCCTCCATTGATCACAGTTGAGAGTAAAATGGCTGAGGAGATTCTGGAGAATGAAGAACATCAACATGGGTTTTAATCAAGCCGCATGGCTGTCAGGTTAACTAATCAGGTCATACCCTCAAGATAACCCCTCTTGAGAGAGGGGGAAGAAATCGCACGTCTGTGTTACTGGCCGCCGGCCTGGCCGTCGGCAGTCATATGTCTCTCACCTGACCTGTACATCTAAAAGGTAAGGTAAAATTACGTAACGTGCTTTCGAAAATAAACAGCCCCAAACCCGCCTGCTTCAATAAAAAAAAAAAGAAGCCACCCTCTACCACCATATTTTTTCCGTCAGCTTCCCTCAGAAACAGCCCAATTGAACGAGAAAACGCGGACCTGGCAACACTGACACTTGCCACTACCTTGTTTATCACCTTTTTAACGGGGTTACATTTAAATTACTAAAGCCGCCTGCTGAATGTCTAACAGTACCAAATTAAAGCCGCCTGCTGAATGACTAACAGTACCAATATATACTTTTATCCCCTTCACCACTGATCGACTCCCCAATAACATGTATGGGTTTTCACCAAGATTGTAAACCCTTGCTAATTTTACCTGTTATGTCCTGCCTCTTATTCTAACACCTTCACGTGAGCTTTATGTTTTTAAAGCTGTGTACAGCTACTGAATTATTACAACGGAGGGAAGTCCCATCCCCTGTGCCAGCATTTATGTGAAAATCTTTTGGCGATTTAATTTCTTCTAGGTTTTATAAAATCTCTCACCCATATCACTGTGAAGTGTACAGGGTATAATATTAGAGGTGGAACTCACTAACTTTTGTATATGAGGAGATGAATTTTAGTCCACCCATGCGATGGAAGCTTTCGTAAGTGGTTAAGTTTGCCTTTGCAGTGATTTTACCCACTCTCCCCTTTCTGCTACATTGGGTACGTCACCGTGGAGTTGTGTGTACCACTGAATTGTTAACGTTCTTCATGAGTGAGGTGCTTCCCTGTCTGGAGTACTGTCACCCCGTCTCCGAGATATGCTAGAGACTGTCAGTTGATTGAAAATGTCCAAAAGAGGGTCACTAGACTTAGTTACCCCGAAAGATAAGTAGTAGTAGTAGATACGCTGAGAAGAGAGCCATAGACTCTGAAGATGTAGGATGACGGTAAAATTAGGAAGTGAGAAATAGAGTGGAAGATTGAAAGCAGGTGGGCTATCCACATTACGGGGACGGTGCTATGTCTGCCACGACAGCACGCCCACAGGTCCACCTCGGCAAGGGTACACAAGCTAAGCTAAGCTAATTTTGATGCTGTTGACAAGGGTCTTATATTTTGTTTTGGGGGCCCCTCCAGGCCCTTGTGTATCTTAAGGGATATCCCTATCTTATCAATTTACTAATTTGTGGGGTGAGTGAATTTTTGTTGATTGGTTTGTGTATTTAAATTTTCTGTGTGTATACGATGGTTCTAGTTCTATATCATCATTTTTCATATTGTAATATGAGATCCTCTGATTCTTGTATTTTTCCCATATTGCTATTGCTTGATTGTGCGTTCTGAAGCTGTAGTGGTTATGCTCTGTTCTGTGTGTCTCGTACTATAGGCGGGCAAGAGGTGACCTAGTAGAAGTTTTATAAATATCCCAGAAGGCATTTATGAGTCGAGAGTTCATACAGGGAGCTGGAGGATGTTCGTCTCATTTGGGGTCACAGTTCAAGGCTGAAGAAGCCACAAGTTCAGGGCAAACTTTTTTCGAAGAAAGACTTGTAAACTCTTTGAAAAATCTACCAGAGAGAGTTATGACGGCACCGAGTGTGAGCTCATTCAAGACTAGACTTCACACTCGGTTCCGTCACAACACTCTCTGGTAGATTGTTCCAAGTGTTTACAACCCTCACTCCGAAAAAATTTGCCCTCACGGTTTTCTGGACTTGCGGCTTCTTCAATCTTGAGCTGTGACCCCTTGTGGGGCGAGCGTCCGCCAGCTCCAAGTAAGGACACGGAGCGCCTGAACTTGCCTAGCTTATACTACAGACGGGCAAGGGGGAACCTAGTTGAGGTGTATAAGCATCTCAGGGGCACTACTCAGTTGAGTGTCCTTACTTGGAGCTGGCGGACGCTCGCCCCACAAGGGGTCACAGCTCAAGATTGAAGAAGCCGCAAGTCCAGAAAACCGTGAGGGCAAACTTTCTCGGAGTGAGGGTTGTAAACTCTTGGAACAATCTACCAGAGAGTGTTGTGACGGCACCGAGTGTGAGCTCTTTCAAGACAAGACTGGACCAACACTGGAGCGGGTTCAGGTACATTCAGGAGCCGGTGCATGCCCAGTATTTGCCAACAGTGCGTGATAGAGACGTGACCGATCGCCAGGGCGGCTAGCGAGCCGACCTTTTGGTGAAAAAGATAAATGAAAAGGAAAAGTAATCAGAGACGTGACTGATCGCCCAAGCGGCTAACAAGCCGATCAGTGGCGAAGAGGATAAAACTGAAACTAAAACTAGACTTGACCACGCCCACAGGCGCAGGTACAGAACTTCAGACACATTATACATGCCCAGTACTTGCGAACAGTGAGTAACAGAAACGTAACCAACCGCCCGAGCGACTAACTAGCCTATCAGTGGTGAAGAGGATAAAAGTAACATGAGAGAAAATCATAAAACCCACCGCGGCGACTAATATCGTCTGTCTCAGGTTAACTTGCGTCAGAATATGTCTGGTTCCGGCCTCAGTGCTAAATCACCCTTATCCACTCCCCACCCCTCATGTAGTAGGTGACATGTACTCCAGGACTAAAAACAGTTTTCCTTGATATGTACTGGCGGACGTGACATACCGGTAAGTAATAAATTTTTATCCCAACATACCAACTCTGACAATGATGGAACCAAAGCTTGGGGAGCAGGCAGTGTATACAGTTCTTGGATACTCGGACGGAAACACTACAGTAAAAAAATACAAATAAATAATATAATATATATATATATATATATATATATATATATATATATATATATATATATATATATATATATATATATATATATATATATATATATATATATATATATGGCAGAATATACACTACTTATAATTTATCTATTTTTTGAACTTACGTATCAAACTAAACAGGTTTAAAGTCTCCCGCCACTGCCTGAGCTACCTGGTGGTTGCTGGCATTTCCAATTAGTGAGTAATACATTTAAACTTCCTGCGTAAAGTTATGTCACGACATATCCAGCAATAACTAATACTTTAGGAAAACATGTAAATATAGGTCAGCCTTTCGTTAATGTCTGGAATATCAGTGGTTACATCAACATTGTTCAATTTCCTGTTTATTTCTTTGTGCTTACTCCATCCTCAAAATGAGCGCTATGTACACCTGAGAGAGTGAGCTCCCGGATTGGTCGAGAGAGCGTGGAGAGCGTTGTGATTGGTTGAAAACAACGCTTTCCAGTCTTCCCATCCGTCGACTCGGCTGCCTGTGTCCTTCACGTTACCAGTGTTCTCCCAGTCGTCAGGCGGGTTAGTGGTGTATACGCGGGAATTTTACAATAATAACCCCCCAAAACAACGACAAGAAATGGATTTATTGAAGCTCAACACCATTCAAGTCACATATTTGACTATAAGTCTAATTTGTTTAGCAAGAAATGGTGAGTAGCAGCTTCCTTCGTCGAAATTAACAAAAGTTTTCAGTTGAGAAAAGTTTTAGCAGCCAGGAATGCGTCTAAGTCTCCCAAAACATAGATACTCACACAATACAACGGAAACATTCTAATATTGTTACACCAAGTTGTAGGCGTGGAGCATGTGGCTGAGGTGAGTGTGGGTGTTGATGTGGTGGTGTGGCAGGTGTACCAGCCCTGTTGTGTGTGTAAAGTGTTCTGGCCACTCTTGCCACACCCTCACTCCAACCCTTGTCTACGCCCTCACACTTAACCTACACTCTCACTCCTACTGTACACTTCCGCCCCCCACACTCTCAAGCCAGAAACACACCCTCACTAAACCTTCACGCTCACTACAACACCCTCACACACTACACCCTCACACACTACACTACACCCTCACACACTACACTACACCCTCACACACTACACCCTCACACACTACA